ATACTGGTTAGCAGTTAGACCTCAAACAAGTGAACTTTGACCAAATCCCCCAAAAGCCTCCTCCCCTCCCTTAACTGGCCATAAAAACTATGGAAAGGAGAACAAACAGTTTTATCTCAAGACACCAAACTGTGTGTCAATTTGCCAGATGTATAACAGGGTCTTAGACCATTCCAAAGCAATGATAGTGCTGCAAAGGTGGTATCCATGGAACACCTCCCCCACCCCGACCTTGTGAACTCATACAGGGATTCATAGCAGAAGGGAACAAAGGAATTGACATCAGCCAGCAAGTAGCCACACATTTAGTGGCAAAAGCTGAATGGCCACTGCAGTTTGAACTAAACTTCACTTGTTTCTGGAACTCAGTCCCACATGGGTTAATTTCTTGAGAATGCTGTGAGATAATCACTTCTTGGCCAACTTTTGCCCCACAATTGCCCTTTTTCTTGTCTTATAATTGAGATTGGACAGAGGGAGGAGAGTGTAAGCTAGAGGGATATTGGGCTTGGTGCAGGCAGGTCATCACGGTTTCTGCAAGGAGGATCCATGGGAACAGCATGCAGTTTTCTCAGGAAGATTATTATTATTATTATTATTGTTGTTGTACTCTAGAAAAAATAACTTTGTTATATTTGTATCATATCAAAATACCTCTAATGTGACCATAATGTATATATGTTTCCCTTCCCCCTTCTCCCTCTGGGTGACCTAATTGATATGTTAATCAATGCTCTCCTCTGTAAAGAATCCTCTCCTAAGGAAAACAAAGGTTGTTAATTGCTGCTAGACTTCTCTATTCTCTGCTGAGGAAAACAGGATGTCTTCCTAATCTAAACTTGCTTGTTTGCAGGGAAACTTGCTTGTTAGCCCAACCCTTACCTGAACCTTGCTCTTCCCAAGAAATGTAATCACCATGTTCCTGTTCTGTAGTGTGCCACAAAGCCACCCCTCTCCTTGCATTGTGAGACCAGCAGCTGTTTTCGGTTTCACAAGATAAAAGCTCTGCCCTTTAGCTGTTAGGCGCGCAGTCTTCCATATTGGCTACCGGAGGCTGCATCGCCAGGCCTGGCCTAAAATAAAGCCTTTGATCCCTAAATTTTAATTTCTTGCTTCCTTGGATTTTATTCCAGGGTCTGAGCTATCACAATTATTATCATTATTCTTATTATTATTATTTTGTCTTTTTGAGATAGGATCTCACTATTCAGTTCAGGCTGGCCTTGAGCTCACTTTGTAGCCCAGGCTGGTCTCAAACAATCTTCTTGCCTCAGCCTCCTGAGTGCTGGGATTACAGGCATGCACCACCATGCCCGGCTTAAAAAATAAAAGGTTATTCTAACAGCTATAAGAATCTAAATGCGATAGTCAAGACCTGAGAACCAATGTTTAGGATTGACCCAGTTGGCAGTATCTTCAAGATGATCTAAAGTAATGTTGCAAGACTTCATTGGAAGTGTATAAAGCTAGGCCTAAAGTCAGCCTAGATTTGTCATATTCCACTCAGATTGATGAAAGGTACCATGGAGAAGGTGTGGGTACTTCCCCAGCCTCTCAGGCATTTCTTTGAAATCTGAGTGCATTCTGGATTTCAGTAAAACCAATATTACCTGGACAAGGCCAAAGTCTGCTTTCAGAGGAAGGCATAGCCAGGGCTCCTTGTGGCATGGGCACAGTGGCTTCTGAGTGCCTGGATGGCTGAGCACAGGGACATGAACCCGACGAAACCAATTCCCTAGGAGACCCTTCTCAAGCAGAGGTCTCAGGGATGCTGCTGAAATGAAAGGTTTACAGTTTTGCACCCTAAGCCTGTGATGGATGGCATCTTACTGATCCCTTAGATGCCCTTGAGGAATCTCTCTTCTTGTCTTCTACAGGATATTTGATTTCTTTATAACGGTGCTAATCTCTTTAGCAACCACACTTCCTTTGGCTCCAATTCTACATGTGGTTCCTTTTGGGGCAAAATTTAAGTTTTTCAAATTGTTATGCTTTGCTTTGTGCTCCCAATTTTTACCATAAATGTAGCTAAAAGCAATGGGCTATGCCCACACCACAGCTTATTATACATTGGGTTTCCTTGAAACTTCCTTTACCAGAGCAATCAGTTCATTGGCCTGAATCTCATGTCTCCCAGAAAGTCGTGGGATGTGAGCAAAATGTAGGCATTTTTAAAATCAGGGTGTAACAGACATGAATTGTATTTCAATTGCCAGTGGAGTCCTTGTACTAACTCAAAACTGTCTATACCTAGGGGCTGGGGATTTAGCTCAGCGGCATAAGCACCTGCCTTGCAAGCAGGCAGTTGTGAGTTAGATCCCTGGTACCGATAAAAATGAAAAAGACCAAAAAAAAAAAAAAACCAAAACTGTCTATACCTGAGCTCTACTGTTAACATTCCTATCGGCATTCTGGTTTTCTGAGCTCTAGCTAGAATAGTCCATCAGGCTCTGCTTATAGCAATCTAAGTCTTCTTCAGTATGCATTTTCGAGCCTTTCAAAACTTCTACAAATCACAGACTTCTAAATCACATGATCATAGCAGTGACAGCAATCACAGCAATGGCACCACTTCCCTGGTACATATTTTCTGTATTACTCAGCTTCCCTATTCCTGGGATACAATACCCCAAACCCACAACTTACAATGGAGGTTTATTCTGGCTCATAGTTTCAGATGATTCAGTTCATGGTCAGGGGCTCCAAAGCAGGAACAGGCAGTACAGTTAAAATTGTTTCTGGTACCTGTTGTACTCTAAGAAAATAGCTTCATTATATATGTATTATAGCAAACCTGTAAAGTGGCTTACTACATGTGTTTTTTATCCTTTTTCCCTAACTGATATGTTAAGTGACCTAATATGATATGTTGAGCAATACTCTCCTCTGTAAAGAATTGCAAGAATCTCACCTAATTGATATGTTAACCATTGTTGCCCTCTACAAACTACAGAAGTTGTGCTAAAACAAGCTAACAAGGGTTTTTAACCACTGTTAGGTGCCTCTATTCTCTGCTAAAGAGCTAAAGAAAATTAGAATGGCCCAAATTATAACATTTGGGGGCTCGTCCGGGATGGAAGCAAGACCCCAGACTCATTTTTGAACATTTGAAAGTAAGTGCTCTGGAGGCTTTGTTTGGGCCATGGTCAATTTGTAATTTTGAGGGGACGCCCTCAATTTGGGAGTGGGAACCACCCGAGGACAGAGTCAGTTGGTTTGTTGGACAAATTCTGTCCATTTGTGACTCTGCCCCGGGTGGGGAATCGCTCCATTTGGAAGGGGATGCCCTTAATTTGGGGAGTGAAACCTCCCGAGGACAGAGTCAATTGGTTTTTGCCATTTGTGACTCTGCCCCGGGTGGGGAACCACTCTGTTGGTTAATTTGTTAATTCCTCCAGATCCCAAAATTTGACTAAGTTTTGAGCAAAGGCCATTTTGCTACAGCTTGTCTCATCTTGTCCATTTGTTCTAATTGTTCTCCTTTTGGTTACCCCAAGTTTAACAGAACATTCTCTTCTAGGAACCTCTTCTACGAGCCCAGAATGGACTAAGGGATTTAGATACTTACGTTCAGAGTGTTTGTACTTTAGAATTGTTTGCCCGTTTAAATTTGTTACTAACTTAGGGACTTGTTGCCCATTTCTGTTGCAGGATCCATATGGCTTATTATATTCAAGGTTCATAATAAGAAAAATTATTTCCTTTAGCTCACCAAACTGTGCAAGAAACAACCTTTGTTTGTGTCTTTAATGTTGTGGTGCCTTGTTTAATATGTAAGTCTTCAATTGATTGCTTACAACCTCGGCATGCCTTTTAAAAGGAGTATTTTTCTTTCTGGTTAAAAAGTAAACATATGTGCACATATATGTGTATATTTATGGTTTTTAAGAATCATATCAACTTTACCAAGTGAAAACCAGGTAATACTGTAATTGAGCCAGTAAAAAGGTTATAGTTTTTTTTTTTAAAAAAAACAGCATTTTAATGTGGTAAAAAGACATAAAATAATTAAATATGTTTTAGACTACTAGAAGGTGACTTCAAGGGTTTTGTTGAGAGTTTTAATGTTGTCTGAGAAGTGAGAGAAAAGGTAATTGACTGGTGATAGTAAAAAGGAGGGACAAAGAAAGTGGTTTGTCTTCAAGTAAAAATGTCTGGCTGTGCCAGAATATGAAAGAAGATAAAACTTAGAGGTATATTGTAAGTTATAGAAAGCTCGAGATGATGTAAATTTTATTTGTCTTGGTTTATAGTACTGAAAACAACAGGTTTGACAAGAAGTAAATGTGTTCAAAATTTGACAGTATTAGATCAGTTTTGATAGATTTATTTATAAGAATCTAAACCTTTGCTGCAAAGTGTTTCCATTAATATGAGATTATAGATGATAATAGAGATGAGATATAAGTTCTTGCATGTGCTGTGGACATCTGGGAGATTATATGGCACAATTTTGTTACCTATGAAAAAGCTTCTTTTTGTTAAGTATGTAATTTCAGTAAAATGATGGCCTGCCATGTGGCACCCTAGGACAAAAGGTGGTGTGCCATCCAGAAAAAGCCTGCTCTCTGATCTGGAATGCCAAAACCATGTTTTCCCTTTGTCCCACCCCGATTGGACATCCAGAGGAAAGGAGGTTTCCCCAGTATCGTTGTTCTCTTTGCAACTCAGTCGGCCCCGCATGTTAGAAAAATGGTTACAAAGGTTTGAGAGTTTTGAGAAAATGCCCCTCAGCCAGTTGATAGAGATAGCACAAAAGGTCTTTTAAAACAGGAAAAATTACCGTCTACTGGGAAATTTGTCCAGCGTACCTGAGTCGTCACAACTGACTTAGAGTTAAAACTGTTGAGCAAATGAAATCAGGAGATTCCAGAAGTCTGGGCAGAAGATAATCCTCCAAGGCTAGCAATTAACCAGGTTCCCCTTGTGGTGGAATTCTTAATAAGCCTGCAGGCCCGGAAAGGGATTAAAGTCCACATACAGAGACTAAGAGACAATGATATTCTCATTCCTTGTGCCTCTCCCTGGAACATGACCTTGCTTCCAGTCCAGAAGGGACAAATAACTATCGCCCTGTACAGGATCTCAGAGAGGTTAATAGACGAGTTCTGAGTCTATACCCAACAGTGCCAAATCCTGAGAACACCTGGTACTCTGTTCTGGACCTGAAAGATGCTTTCTTCACTTTGCCTCTTACTCTGGTGAGTCAACCCCTTTTTGCCTTTGAATGGACTGACCCAGATACAGGGGTAAAAGAACAGCTGACCCGGACAGGTTTACCTCAGGGTTACAAGAACTCTCCCACTCTTTTTGATGAGGCATTAGCAAGAGATCTTTTAGATTTTAGGGAAAAACACCCTGAGATAGTGCTCCTCCAGTTCATGGATGACTTGTTAATAGCCTCGACCCCCACAGAAGCTTGTAAGCTTGTCAAGAGACAACTGAGGAACTGTTAAGGACTTTGGGGCAATTAGGCTATAAAGTCTCGGCTGAAAGGGTCCAATTGTGCCGTCAGGCTGTGACTCATCTGGGCTACAAGTTGCGAAAAAAAAAAAAAGGTGGGGGGGATTTTGTCTAAAGAAAGTGTCCAGGCTATATTGCAGATCCCATTCCCAGAAACTAAGAAACAGGTGCGTGATTTCCTGGGAGCTGTCGGATATTCCAGGCTGTGGATTCTAAATTTTACTGAAACAGCTCACCCCCTATATGGCTCCCTTAAGGGAAAAACTCACTAAACTGGACTGATAAATGTGAACAGACCTTGCAGCAGCTCAAGTGGGCCTTGACAGAGGCCCCAGCCCTCAGACTCCCTGATGTTACCAAGCCATTCACCTTGTTCATAGATAAACTCAGGGGCATTGCCAAAGGAGTCCTAACCCAGGACATTGGCCCTTGGAAGAGGCCCATAGCCTATCTTTCCAAAAGGCTCAATCCAGTAACAAGAGGGTGGCCTCCATGCCTAAAAATTCTGGCCGCTGTGGCAATGCTACTTAAAAGAGGCTAAGAAACTCACTTTTGGACAGAAGATTTCTGTAGTGACCTCCCACAGTTTAGAGACTCTTATCAAAACCCCTCCTGAAAATGTGAGTGCTAGAATCTCACACTATTAGGCCCTGCTCCTAGACCCAGAATTGGTAGTTTTCAAGACTTCTTTAGCTTTAAACCCAGTCACCCTTATGCCTGACAACAACCTGAGAAATTTCACAGATGGAAGCAGCTTCATCCAGAACGGCAGAGGCAGATGAGTGGCTGGGGCAGCAGTGACCACCAAAAAGGAGGTACTCTGGGTTAAACAGTTAGAGCCTGGCTTCTCTGCCCAAAAGGCAGAACTCATTGCTTTGACTGAGGTACTAAAACTAGCCACGGGAAAGAGGGTAAACATCTATACTGATAGTAGATATGCTTTTGCTACTATACATGTACATGGAGCCATCTATTAAGAGCCAGGTCTCTTAACCTCGGCCAGAGCTAAGATTAAAAAAAAAAAAAAGGGCTCCACAGGTCCTAGATTTGCTGGCAGCAGTCTGGCTGTCAGCAGATTGCTGCTATTCACCTAAGGAAACAATTTGGCAGATCAGGCCGCTCAAAGAGTAGCAATCACATCAGAGGGGCCAGCCAAGAAAGTAACTGCTCTGATGCGAGTCCTCCCGATCTTGTCAGAACCAGTTTACACAAAGAAAGACTGCACTGGTTGTTGTGAGCCATCTGACAGATTCCAGTCCCTGTGACTAAAAGACAAGTGCAAAATTTCTAGGAGCCACAGGACTGATCCAGAGTTTGGGACCCTGGCAGAGGCCTGTTGCCTACCTTTCCAAGAGACTTGGTTCTGTGGCAGCCAGATGGCCACCCTGTCTGCAGTGATTTCCTCAGTGGCCCCCTCATAAAGGAGGCTTAAAAATTGACTTTTGGACACAAACTCTTAATTGTTTCCTCCTATTCGCTGGAGACTCTCATCAAGGTCCCACCAGACCGATGGATGTCTAATTCCCAAGCCATACATTATCAGGCACTATTTCTGGAAACAGCAGCTTCAAACTTGGCTACTTTGCTGACTGAGGACGACCCCTCATTGCCTCACCACAATTGTACTGAGGTCATTGATCACCTCACGGGACGTCGACCTTATCTAGTGGATAAGCTACTATCTAGAGTTCCATCCTACTTCTCTGATGGAAGCAGTTACATCTATCAAGGTAAGCGGGTCGTGAGAGCTGCTGTTACACAAAATCTTAGGTTCTATGGGAACAAATCTTAGAGCCAGAGACATCAGCATAGTGGGCTAAACTCATTGCCCACACTGAGGCCTCAAGTTGTCTTTATCAAAAATGGTGTTTATTGTCTTCTGGGGTCAAAAGATTAAAAATGCTCCCCAAATTTGGACTTGTTGGCTGCCATCTAGATGCCAAGGAGAGTGGCTACTATCTGCTGTATAAGCCATTGGGCAGAAGGTGATCTTGTTATAGGAGAAAATAACTTGGCAAATGCCACCTTCCACAAGACAACCAGAAAGCCCCAAAATCAGTGGGTGTTGGGAGCCGCGTCTGTGATAGCTCGCCTTGCGCGGCGGACGTGCGGCCTGTGGTAAAGAGCAAAGCCTGAGGTAGATTACCCCTCCCATCGAATATGTTAGTTTCCTGCTTACCGCGTAAACAACCCGCTCAACAATATAGTCTGCCTGGCAACTGATGATGTTAGCCAATCAGCTTGCCTTGCTTACTTTAACATGATTGGACACTGTACCCGTATATATACCGGTGCCACCCCTGGGCGGAAGTAGAAGCCAGGTAGAAGCCCGGAAGTAAAAGCCCAAAAGGAGCCGCGGAGAGCGGACCGGTAGAGGCTTTGGGGCAGACTGAAGCACAAAAGGAGCCGCGGGGAGCGGACCAAAGGAGGCTTCAGCTGGGAGAACCCAGGGCAGGCTATACGGAGAAGAAAAATAAAAAGAAAAGGTTGTCCACTACCAGACTTTGTCGTGTGTCCTTCCTGCCGGCCGGGAGCGGACATCGACATTTGGTGGCCCGTACGGGGACTGATCACCCCCGAGACGTGGAAGTGGACAACGCTCCAGTACAGAGCTGCGAGACAGGTGAGTTGGGGATAAGCCTGGGCTCTGGGTGGCGCGCACCTACAGGGCTTTTAGACTCCCCTCAGGCTCACGCGTAAGTGGCGGATTCCTTGGGCCTCACGCGGTGAGTAACATATTAAAAAATGGGAAACATGCTAGGTAGCAACACTAAGAGCGAGGGTGGTTGTGGAGAAAGCTCTCAAGAGCTTACAAAAGTACGCAGGGTATCTGAGCAGGCCCAGTCAGGGAGCTCCCGAGAGGTGTCCGTCAAGGGGAACAAAGATGCTAAGGAGGAGGACGGGGCTCTAGCCTCGGAGTCGTCTGACTCCGAGGACGAGGGAAAGTTGAATGGCAGGGAGGCCAAAGAGACCAGCTGTCAGGAGCCTAAGTCGCTCAATAAGGAGTCGCAGGGTTCTTTTCCAGCGTCGCGCCGCGAATTGCGCTCTGCTCAACCTGGTCTGCGGAGGAGTAGAGAGCTCCTGAGTGCGCCCCGGCGCGAGAGGGAGGCGAAGCCTTCCGCCCCACCTTGGGGGCCGTTTCCGGAGGCGGTCCCTCGCCACGAGGCGGCCGCCTGGGAGCTCCCTCCCCTTTCGCCAGAACAGGAAGTGATGCACGGGCCCCCATTTTCCGCCCAATCACGGCCGCCGTCTTATGCTCCGCCGCCGGCGGGTCGGTATTTTTACAGGCAGCTTTGGCAGGAGGGACGCTTGTTTCATGAGGTACATCCACCTGGGATAGATAGTGGCCCCTACGGGATATTTCCTGTACAAGTAGCTATGGGCCAGGGACGCAATGTATGGGAGCCTTTTGAGATAAAGCAGATTAGAGAACTTAAAAATACAGTTACAACCTTTGGGCCGACTGCGCCTTACACCATTGCCATGCTGGAGAATCTGTCTTCTGGGCCCCTCACCCCCGCGGACTGGATTCAGCTGGCAAAGGCGTGTCTGCCCTCGGGTAGTTACCTGGATTGGCGAGCCTGTTATGCAGAGTTCTCTGCAGAGCAGGCTGAAAAAAACGCCAATCGAGGAAACCAGGGGTGGAACAAAGAAATGCTTATGGGAAAAGGTCGACACTCTGATGATCAGACCCAGTTCCCCGGCGCTGTCTATGAACAAATCAATGCCATAGGGCTCCGCGCCTGGAAGCAAGTAAGTGGTGCCGGAACAGCCTCCTTGTGTCTTTCAAAAATAATTCAGGGTACCACAGAGCCATTTGTTGACTTTGTGGCCCGAATGCAAGATGCTGCCGATAAGATATTTTCTGATCCGGGAGTGGCTCGACCGCTGGTAAGGCAGCTGATTTTCGAACAGTGTACAAAGGAGTGCAAGGCAGCGATAGCTCCTCATAAGAACAAAGACCTCAATGCCTGGATTAGGATATGCAGAGAGATAGGGGGGCCGCTCTCCAACTCGGGAGTGGCTGCTCTCCTGGCCGCGGCTGTACAGCAGAGGGGACCTCGCGGGTCAGGAGGGAAATGTAAGGCTAAAGGGTGTTTTGCCTGCGGGGAGCCAGGACACATTAAACGTCACTGCCTAAACAATGCAGATGCTAGGCCTCGTCCTAGGAATGAAGAGCCATATGTTTGTGGGCGATGCAAGAAGGGATCACACAAAGCTGAGGAGTGTAGGTCGGTCTTTGATGCTCAGGGCAACCGTATTTGTGGACAAGATGCTAGAGAGCCAAAAAACGGCCAGAGGGGGCCCCCTTCACAGGCGGGCCCCCGCCCCAGAGACAGGACAGCTCAGGATGACAGCCTTCAACAAGGGCCACCCCTGGGTCAGCAGGTGTGGACCTCAGTGTCGCCTCCAGACTTATATGGGTGTTCATCTTGTCATTTGTCACTCAGCACCCTATAATTTTTCCAAAGGTTACTGCCTCTGAGCCATTAGTCCCAGCAACTACAATATATACAGATGGCTCCAAGACGGGGATAGGCGCCTATGTGATCCTAGGCAAGCCCCCGGTTACCATACAATTTAAACCAGATCAGCCTCAGGTGGTGAAACTGCAGATCATTAAAATGATTCTTAAACGGTTCTCAGAGGCCATTAACATTGTCTCCGATTCTAGGTATGTGGTCAATGCTATGCAAGTGCTTGAGACTGCCGGTTTAATTAGATCCACTTCCACAGTGGCTGGGCTGTTCCTGTCTATCCAGACATTGCTTCAGAACAGGCACCATAAGGTCTTCACCACCCACATAAGAGCACATACATCCCTGCCAGGGCCTATGGCACAGGGGAATGCGGCTGCTGATACTGCCACTCGCCCGTTATGGATTTTTACCTTACTAACACCAATCGAGCGAGCCCGTGCCTTCCATGATAAGTTTCATGTCAATGCCAGGACACTAGCAAACCATTTCCATGTTTCTAGAGCAGATGCACGAGATATCGTGCGACTATGTGACTCCTGTGCCACATACAAACCTGCCATACCGATGGGAGTAAACCCTCGAGGTTTGATCCCTGGTGATGTTTGGCAGATGGACATCACACATATACAGGAGTTTGGGACTCTTAAATATGTTCATGTTTCCACAGACACCTGTTCTCGCGTCATATTTGCAACAGCAGAAACAGGTAAAAAAGTGTCTAATGTGATCAATCATTGCCTGGCAGCTTGGGCCGCATGGGGCAAACCAAAAATATTAAAAACTGATAATGGACCAGCCTATATAGGCAAAGCTTTCAATGAGTTCTGCAAAATGATGGAGGTTCAATTAAAACATGGTATCCCATACAATCCCCAAGGTCAAGAAATCATTAAGAGGGCTCATAGAAGCCTCAAAAAAATTTTACAAAAACAAAAAGGGGGAGTAGGCCAAGGCCTGGCCCCAAAGGCACGATTATCCATGGCACTATTCACACACAATTTTTTAAATTTAAATAATGATAATCGCTCCCCAGCTGTGGAGCACTGCAACCCTTCCCCCAACCATAAAGGGTGGGTGAAGTGGAAAGATGTCCTGACAGGACAATGGATGGGCCCGGATCCAGTGGTCAGCTGGAACCGAGGCGCGGTTTGTGTTTTCCCACAGGAACCGGGACGAGAACCACTGTGGATACCGGAGAGACTGACACGGGCAACAAAGCCCTCGACTGAAGATCAGACCTGCCCTACTGGAGATCCATCACAGACCAACCAACAAGATGAATAAAAATAGCGGTAGCCCGAAATGGACAAGAAGATCCTCAGGCATATGCATGGCTTGCTCGATTGGCCCACGACCGAGTCTAGATATGGCGGGCATCCCTCATTCTCCTCCATAAGGTGACAATACACAGCAGGGTAGGTGAGTCAATGACGGGTAAGAGCGTGCCTCCCCAGCACGACTCGACCTAAGCCAGGCCCTACCCCATCCTGCACGTAAGCCGCTGGACTGTTAGATGCTGCCCAGGTCTAAATTTCTCTCCGAGGGGATTTCTTTACGGAGAGAAAATGAGTGCAAGCTTGTGTGCATCCAGGTTCCTTCCAGTTTGTGCCTGGCCCTAGAAAAAGGACGAGGGCCTCAGGGCCTTGGCAGACCATGGGACGGCCGACCAGGGTCTAAGCCAAGGACCTACGGTGGGCCTACACATAGGGCATAAGCCTCTACACCCAGTCCAGAAAGGGCTACGATGCGCACATTCATAAAAAATAAAATAGGGGGAGATGTTGGGAGCCGCGTCTGTGATAGCTCGCCTTGCGCGGCGGACGTGCGGCCTGTGGTAAAGAGCAAAGCCTGAGGTAGATTACCCCTCCCATCGAATATGTTAGTTTCCTGCTTACCGCGTAAACAACCCGCTCAACAATATAGTCTGCCTGGCAACTGATGATGTTAGCCAATCAGCTTGCCTTGCTTACTTTAACATGATTGGACACTGTACCCGTATATATACCGGTGCCACCCCTGGGCGGAAGTAGAAGCCAGGTAGAAGCCCGGAAGTAAAAGCCCAAAAGGAGCCGCGGAGAGCGGACCGGTAGAGGCTTTGGGGCAGACTGAAGCACAAAAGGAGCCGCGGGGAGCGGACCAAAGGAGGCTTCAGCTGGGAGAACCCAGGGCAGGCTATACGGAGAAGAAAAATAAAAAGAAAATGTTGTCCACTACCAGACTTTGTCGTGTGTCCTTCCTGCCGGCCGGGAGCGGACATCGACAAGTGGGGATTGAGATAAGCTTGACATTACTGCTGATCCCACCTATTTTCTTTGTCAGAGCCCATTTGCACTTAAAAAGACCAGCATCTGGTAGCTCAACTTCCAAGAGATCCCCGGGGGCTAATATCAAGCTAGCCCAGTCTGTGAGCTTCAGATGCCCTCAGTGCCAATTGGTAAATCTAAAAGTACTGCAACAAATAGAAACCACTGGTTATCGTGGGACTATGCTTAAAAAACACTGGAAAATAGATTTTACAAAAATAAAAAGCCTGAACTTCAAAGATATAAGTGTTTACTTATAATGGTTGATATTTTCATTAGATGGGTAAAAGCGTTTTCTACTTAGTCTGAGTCAGCTCTGATAGCAGTTTCCCTGATTTGGTCTCCCTTTTTATCCGTGGGGTCTGACAATGGCCTGGCTTTTATAGCCTAGTAACTCAAATTAACCTAAGCTTTGCAGATCAATTAGAAAACTCGATTGGGCTTACCAGCCTCAGAGTTCAGGAGAGGTAAAAAGATAAGTCAGATTTTAAAGACCATAATTACTAATGGCCTTGAAAACTGGCGAAAACTGGGTGAGTCTCTTTTCCTTTTGGCCCTTTTGTGTGCGTGATGCACCCCCTATGTTGCAGATATTTCCTCTTTTGAGGTTTTATGTGAGAGATCTTCCTCTTATCCTTAAAGGTTTCTAGAAATTAGCTGATTTAACTAATCAAGATCTTATTAAGTCTCCCCCAGACTTTTCAGCTAGCTCTGACTTCCATCCACTGGTTATTTTGCTGCTGCCCACTGCGAGCTAAAGAGCCTAGACACCTGGACAAGCGACCTCACCGTGAATCTCTTGAGCCGCAATGGACTGTCAAAGTAGCTGAAAGCCTACTTGGATTCAACGTTCCCACTGCAGACAGGTCCCAGCTTCAAAAGACCATCAGCCTGCAGATAAGTGAACTGTCATTTCCTCCAAGGACACTTTAAAGCTTAAGATTGTCTAATATAAACTGATAATTTTGTGTTCTCCTCCTTTGTAGAGACCCCAAGGAGGCCTCTGTCTGACTTAAAAATTGTTACTTGTATGATAAAACAGAGTAAATTTAAATGTTGGTTTTCTTTCTCCTTTGGGTTAACAGCTTTAATGACAGCTGCAAGACCTTTGTTAATCCTCCTACTGGGCCTTGTGTTGTAAACAAGTTGATAAACTATGCGAAAGTTCTTAAAAGCTTATGATTTTAAAGACACATGCAAGGTTATAAACAGATGCCAATGAGTCAATGATTTGACTCACTGACTAAAATCAGTGGGGAATGTTGTACTGTAAGAAAATAGCTTTGTTATATGTGTATTATAGCAAACCTGTAAAGTGGCTTACCAAATGTGTTTTTTTATCCTTTTTCCCTAACTGATATGTTAAGTGACCTAATTGATATGTTGAGCAATACTCTCCTCTGTAAAGAATTGCAAGAATCTCACCTAATTGATATGTTAACCATTGTTGCCCTCTACAAACTACAGAAGTTGTGCTAAAACAAGCTAACAAGGGTTGTTAATCACTGTTAGGTGCCTCTATTCTCTGCTAAAGAGCTAAAGAAAACTAGAATGGCCCAAGTTATAACAGTACCCATGAAGTAACCCAGTGTCCAGTAGTAATAAGGTTGAATGTGTCAGAGCAGAGAGTATCCTAGTTTATTATCGGTGTTCCAAGGCAAAAAGGCAAGTGTCAGTCAGAAGAGTGGCTCACAGCAGCAGGCTGAGTAGGGGCTAACCCATCTTGAGCAGAGCTGGAGAACTGGTCTTCATAACTGAGGTACAGTTTGGGATGGGCCTTACACCCTGAACTTGTGCTGTTTTCCCAAGCCTTGTTCCTTATCACTTCTTTTCCTATTCATAGTTGCATGATGGTTTTTCTGAGTAAGACCACAGGGATCAGCAATATTGTAAAGGGCCTTCTATACGAAAAGCCATTAAGGAGTTTAGACTTTGTCCACAAGTCAGGCCTAGAGGAGACCAAGCAAGGATACTAAAAGGGGTTGAACGGGAAATAATGAGACCAGATTTTCACTTAGTGGTCACTCTGGGTAGTGAGGGAGAATACATTGAATATGAGCAAGAGCAGTAAGGAAAATTAGGAAACTTAGGGTAATAAAATACGCAAAAGAAGATGGCTACCGAGCCCTTCTAGGTAGCAAAAGGGACACAGAGGGCCGAACAATGATAGAAATGGAGGCTCAGTAGAACTATTAATGAATATCAGGCAGCTGAACTGACCCATAAAAGCATGAAAGCATCAACCTCATGTAGAAAATCAGACTAAACATGCCTATGCTTTGTGACCTTCTGCTGAATAAAGGTCTTTGGGCTGGTTCATGGTTCTTGGTTCCTGGCTTCCAGCCAAGGTAGGTGGCCTGATACATGACTACCTGACCATGAAAACAAAAATCTCTATTCTCTATGGAATTTTTATTCAGTAATAAAACAATATGTGACCCTAACATTTTGTGTGGTAAAAATAGGCATGTGTTCAATAAACGTCAGCTGCATTACAGTACAGTATGTAGAATGAAAAGGTGATGATCACTGTCTGCATAAGTAATTCACTTTGTCTGAAGAGCAACCAGACCAGGCATGATGGCTCATGTCTACAATCCTAGCACTCTGTGATCTCAGGCTGAAGCAGGATGATCACAAATTCACACCCAGCCTGGCAATTTAGCAAAGCCTTCTCTCAAAATAAAAGGGCTGGGGAATTAGTTCAATGTAAAGGCCCTGGGTTCAATCTCCAGTATAAAGGAAAATAAGACACCAAGTTGAAAGAACTTGAATTTGTTTCCAATTTTTAAAAATTGAGGAACCAAGCAACCAGCTCGCCTCCCTGGTAGAGGCGGTGGCTGTAAGCCTACCAGCATGTGGGCTGAAAATCAAACATTCCTTTCCCCCCACCCTCCTTAGCAAATAGGAGCCAGAGATCTGAGCATCTCTTGGGAGATTGACCCATATGCAACATAGCAAATAAGGGGGATTTCCTTCCACCACCTCTTTGAAGGCAAAAATTTTTATCACTGTTTTGCTTTGTTCTGATTAATGGTATTGCTCTATTCAATATTCTATTTTGATAAGCTCTATAATGTTCTGGATTTTGTTTGATTTTGCTATACTTGATTGAAAGAACAATGATTGTGAAGATAACAAGATACATTATGGTACCTATTGCTGTTATCCCAATAACCTTTACTGCACTGTCTCAATTAGCTTTGTTCCATCTTGTTCTATTGTATTTTACTACCTCCAAAATAATCAGAAAAAATTGAGGGTTCTGAACATTTATAGCCTAGAGAGCTTAAAAGGAATGAAAGATCTCTACACACTAAATTGCAGTAACTTGAAACAAGAGCTCTACAGTGTTTGCTAATTCAACAAATATTTACTGAACATCTGTTGTGAGCAAGGCACAGTAGCTTGATATTATCAAGAACTGTGTTAAGATTTTATCCTACCTGTAACCTAGCCAGCTAACCTAACACAGTTACATGAATGCTGGCAGAAAACATCCTAATCAGAGACATAGAACTTTATTCTACCCAACATAGCAAGCAGTTGAGCTTCATCTTTAGTGTGCTTTGCCTGCCATGTACCATTGGGATAGTCAGACAGATGCTGTTCAAGCAATGAGTATCACTAGCTCAGTTTGTGAAACGCAAGTTTAGGAAACATCAATCTTTTATTTATTATTTATTTATTAGGTACTGGGAATTGAACCTGGGGCTTTCACACTGAGCTACAATCTCAGCATCCTCCCTCCCTTTTAAAATTTTGATGCGGCTGGTGATTTAGCTCAGTGGCATAAGCACCTGCCTTGCAAGCAGGCAGTTGTGAATTCGATCCCTGGTACCGATAAAAACTTAAAAACAAAACAAAACAAAACAAAACAAAAATTTGAGACAGTCTCACTAAGTCACTAAGCTGCCCAGGCTGGGCCTGAACTTGTGGTCCTCCTACATTAGCCTCCTAGAGTGCTGGTAGTGCAGGTGTGTGGAAGGAAGGAAGCCTGGATGAAACTTCCAGGTGCTATAATGCACCAGAGCCAATGGGTCCAGCCTTGAGCAGGGGGTAGACATTGTCTTCATTGCACAGAGAGCAACAAGCCTGCTTTAGATTGGGAGAGAAGCATTTATTTCAGGTTTCTAAAGTGCTCATTACAGCTTCTGGGAGAACATGGCGGACAGATAACAGCAACTACTGGAGGCTCTCTGAAAGGCTCAGCTCAGAAGTCAGGAATGGTGCGGACTAAGGAGACATAAGCCGGTAGAGATATGCTCTACTGACTCAGGAACGAACTGGGCTGAGAGAAACCAACTTGGAATGCAGTCCTGGCACTAAAATAGGAACAGAAAAGACTCGGTGTGGAGGCTGGACCCCGCGCCATTGGAAGCCGCAATTTGGGTTTCCCACCGCTCGGCAGCTGGCTGCCTCTACATCGGCTCAGCAAGGAGAGAGACGTGCAGAAGCTCTGTGAACGGGAGTCTGCGAATGGAGTCAAAAACAGGACGGACAGGGAGGCGTGCACTGACTTGTGGTGAGGTGAGTGAGAGAAACTGACACTCTACCACAGTTTGACTCCAGCGGAGGACTTTCTGGGCTTGGGCAGTCCTGCGGGAGCAGGGCGCGGTGGCGACTCTAGCCACACATTCCCCTCTCGGACGGGATTGGTGAAAAGTGCCTGGCCTGCGTGACGCTGCTGGTGGACTCGGTAGGCTAGCCCAACCCAGATCCCAGAGCCTGATGGTGGCCCAGAGCAGCGACTCCCGCATAGGCTGCCTCATCCGTAACTCCCTGGTGCGCAGCAGTGGGCGGGAACACCTAGCCAGAGCAATTCGATCAGGCTGTGGCTGACAGGCAGGGAAGCTGGGCCTCCTATGTAAGCTTGCATATATATAAGGAACAGAGAATATGGGAAAAGGCAGCAACAAGAAAGGCTCCTCGGCCCCCAATTCTGAGAAACAGGCAATAGCGGACACTGCACCAATAGACATTAAGCGCCATATAGAGAGCCTCATAGACCAATTCAGGAATGAAGTTATCAACGACCTGAAGCTAGAAGTATGCAGAATAGTTAGAGAAATGCTAAGCACCACCCAGGAAAAAACAGATGGTGGAATGGAAGAACAGAAAAAGAGGGGAGAATTGTTTGATGGAGAAAACAGAGAAAGCATAGAGTACGTGAAGCAGGTTCAAAGGGACTATCAAGAAATTAAGAAGTCTACCCAAGACTGGCATAACAGCTTGAAAGAAACTAAGGACAGACTATCTGAACTGGAGGGCAGACTTGTAATATGGGAGAATGAAATGAAAAACTTCTTAAAAATAACAAAGAAACAAACAGCAATAATACAAAGACAAGAAGATGATAAGAGGAGCCATAACTTAAGGATTAAGAACATAAAAGAAGAAGTAGGGACACAAACAAGTGAACTACAAAAGCTACTCACAGAAATAATCCAGGAGAATTTTCCTAATTTAGCAAAAGGTAAAGATACCCAGATGTATGAGGCATACAGGACCCCAGCCACCTACAACCCAAACAGAGAAACACCCAGGCATATAATAATAAAAATTCCAGAAATTCAATACAAGAACAGAATATTAAAAGCTGTCAGAGACAAGAAACAGACCACTTACAAGGGAACACCCATCAGAATTACAGCAGATCTCTCTGCACAAACCATCAAATCACAAAGAGCGTGGGGGGAAATAATTCAACCTTTGAAAGATAATAATCTCCAGCCAAGATTGAGATATCCTGCACAACTGTCCCTGGAAATTGATGGAAAAACAAGGTGCTTCCAGGATAAAGAGGAACTGGGGGAATTTGCAACCACCAATTCAACTCTACAGAAAGTACTGCAGGATATTCTAAAAAAAAGAAAAATACAAAGAACCCAGAAATAGTGGCGGGGAGGCCACAACGAATGGAGCAGAGAACAAAATGAAGAAGACAAACTGACAGCTACTGACAGAAAAACAGCTCAACAGAAATGAGACAGAGAAGATTGGATGATAGGAACAGCTATTTTGGAGAAAATGACATCTTAATAGGTAATACTGATTTAGTATCATCTTGTTTTGAAGTCTCATCTAGCTTTTGTTCTTCTGTCTCCAATGGTCTAAACAGGTTGTATCTTATTGGATTTTATTATGTACGATAGTATAAGCAAAAACCTTTTAAAGACAAGGAGATTATACAGAAACCATTGTTCATTTTCTGTTAGTCGATTCTAAATACTCTGTAATGCTGTCATTCTCTTAAATGGTTTTACATTGTTTTGATATACTTAATGCTATAGTATATGAAGTTGTACTCAAGGACTTCAAGGAAAGAGTCAATATGGTAACTACTTTTGGGTCGGAATTATCTGGTGGTGAAACACTATTCTGCTTAAATGGTTATGTTTTGATCTGCGCTGTTTCGCTGTTATGCCCTCTTTTTTCTCAATCTCCACTCCATTATTTACTTTTTTATTTTTATCCGTTTAATTAAAGGGGAAAAAATTGCAGGATATAATATAGTAACCCACTTTGACTTTCTATTATCTCGATTTGAAGCCCTGTATTACTCTCACCATCTTGTTTTTGACTGATGTTCCCCTATTCTGTTTTGCTGGATAGTATCAGGTTCGAAAGTTTAGGCATCAGCTGTGAAGATAATGAGATTCATTATAACGCCAATTCTTGTTGACTTTTATCTACTTTTGAAGACCTACAATGTCTCCAATGTTTTGGTTTTGTTGGTTTTGTTCTTTACTGTTTTGTTCAATTGTATTATAATTAATGATATAGGCAATTCTATTAGAAATAGCGGGAGGCATTATGGTAACCATTGTTGATCACCTTGTATTATGTTTTTACATTATCTATTATGTCCACCCTTTTGACTTGACCGATTCTGTTCTGTTATGTCACATTTGGTTTTACTCTCTTCCAAAAAAGCAATAAGAATCTTGGGAGCAATGAAACCCAAAATGTGTAATAGTCATTGTACAAAAGAGAGGAAAAGAAAGTGCTCTAAACTATATAACTGCATGTATATTTAAGTGTATAAGATAGAAAATGATATCACAGAGTTTTATTAGATCATTGAACAGAACTGTTTGCAGTATCATTGATGGAAGGTCCACTCTACAAGCTTTAATCTTGTGACTTGAACAATTATTTCTAAGATGGCAATATATAATCCATTAACTAGTGATTTCCTACTGTTCATTTTTTTCTTCTGTAAATCTGTATAACTTGTACCCTTTCACTGTTTTTTTTCTTTTCTCCTTAAATAAAATTTAAAAAAAATAAAGTGCTCATTACGTAAACATCCTAGAAAAGAGGTGTTGTAGGGTTCTCCACAGAAACAGAACTAACAGGATGCACATTTATATAGAAACAAATTTAAGAAATTGAAGAGGTTGCCCACACTTTAAGATTTGCAGAGCAGACAAGTAGGCTGGGCACCCAGGGAAGAGCTGATGATCTGGTCTCCAGTGTCAACGCAGTCTGGGGCAGAATTTCCTCCTCTGCTTCATTCTTCTCTTCAGCCTTCGGATGCAGCCTGCCCACGATATGCAGGGTCATCTGCTTTACTGAAAGAGTATCGCTTAAACAATGAATCACACCTAAAACATCTTCACAGAAAAAGACATTTGACCTGATGTTTGGACAAAACTTGGACACCACACACTGGCCCTGTTGATACAAAATCCACCATCCGAACAGCCCGGAACAAAAGTAGTCAGGACCATGGCTCACAAGAGGTGCAAAATCGTGAGGCCCACGGAACACCTCCCAACACACACCTGATTTAAAAAGTTTGTAATCATTGGTGTCTTCAGAGTTGCCCTGTCTATCCTATAAAACCTGCGACAAAACTTAAAGAGAAATTAAATAATTGTGATTTTCCTTCTTCGTTCACATTATCCATATTAAGCTTTGCAATGAACCAGCGTCTAGGCGCTCGGGCTACCAGGGTTCTGTCTGTTCTCCGAGGCCCTGGCCCTTCTGGAGAAATCAGACGTGCGCTGGGAGAAGTGGACACAGCATGTGTGGGCGAGACTACCCCATGGGTGTCACCGCAGAATAACTTTATAGGGTGACATGTATTATTTTCAATGGTCACACAGACTGAAGGGTCCCAGGTTCGCAAGATTAGTGCAGCGGTCCCGGGAGCCGTCCTGTTTCAGAGTAACCCAGACACTGCTTACACCTGGCGGCTCCACCGACCTCCCCAGATTCACTAGGAAGCCTCTCCCCGTGCCCGCCTCTGCCCTCCGCGCCCGTGCCCCAGCCCCGTCTCCTCCCCAGCCCCGCCCCTCCCCCCCGCCGGCACCCACGCTTCCGGCTCCGCCCCCGCGCGGAGGACTGTGGGAGCGGCTTCCTTGGATTCCGCTTGGCAACGGCTCGCTGGCCGCGCGCTCCGGCCCGTGGACGCTCTGCAGATCCGCGCCAACGCCGGGACTGTCCTGGGCTCGACTCGCGGGTACCCGCTCCCCTCAGCTCGAGGTAGGAGAAGGGTCCAGGGTCGGGCCGAGTGCCTCCGGACGCCTTGCGGCGTGTCCCCGCCCGCCGAGCCCCGCTTCCCGTGGGAGGCCGTGGATGACCCTGCTGTTCTCGCCCGCTCCCCACCGCGGCTGCGGGGCCCAGGCCTAAAGTTCCACTTTTTTTTTTTTAAGTAGGGTGATTCTCTGGTTTTGAGCTTTTAGATAACATTAGGCATGTTAGAAGTAGATTCTCCATCACAGAAGAACATACCCCCAAAAATAACTTTCAGACTTAAAAATTTTACCAGTACGTTTTCATTTACATTGATGTGGCATTATCCTCATATTTTTCCAGTGTTACGTATATAAGCTGATTTTGAAATTGCTTGCAATCTCTAGAAATAATGAGTTACAGTATTTGCTATCCCACCCATAATCATTAGCCATGGGTAATTACTTTCACCTTTTCTGAGCTTGCTTTTTCTCATCTTTAAAATTAGTATATTTTATTAAATTTCTGTTCAGTTAAAGTCTCTTCCAGGTATAGTCCCCACCCCCCAACCTGGTTACAGTCTCGCAGAAATGATCTTGTTTTAAAAGTTGCTTGTTTTTATAACTTAACGTATAAACTAGACTGACTTGAGTAAAGCTTAGAATGAAGAAGTTGTTGTTCAACATAGAGATTCTCATGGTGTGGTTCGGAGACCCAGCAGAGTCGTCATTACTGTGAAAATTGTTAGCAATTTTAAAGGAGAAATGGGGTGCCCATCTCTCTCACTCAAGACTTACTACTGCATTAGTAATGCTGGTGACAGGTGCAGTGATCTGAGTTAAAAAGGCCCAAAAGTTGTAGAGTTACTATCTGAGCCATTCTTAGGTGTGTACCCAAAGAATTGAAAAATACGTTAATGCAAAAGCTTGCATACATGTTTATAGATGTGTCACTCAAAAGCCAAAAAAGTGGAGTCAGCCCAAGTGTCCATGAACTGTTAAGTAGATGAAGCAAAATGTTGAGTTACTACTCAGCCAAACAAACGGATGCAGTCCTGACACATCCACCAACCTGCTATGAGAAAGAGCCCGACTCACTAGGCCATTTCTTGTGTGTGAAATACCCAGCGCTGGCAGATCATAGAGCTGGAAGTTAAGTTAATGGGTGCCGGGGACTGAGGGGAAGTGGACAGGGACTGTGAGGGACCTCAGGTTTGTTTGTGGGATGAGGCACACGTTCTGGAGGTGGATGGTGATGGTTGCACACCATGCAGATACGTTAATGGGGAGAATGTGATAATATGTAAACTGTGTCTCAAAGAAATAACAACGTATTAGTTCCTATTATGTACATACTTTTTAAAGGTTTTGAGCAGCCACATATATTTGTTGTTATGCTTATTGGTATAATGAAATTCAACAAAATTTTCTCAGCTTACTGGTACACCTAAAATGGCATAGGCTTTAAAGAACAAAGTATGTAGCTCAAAATTAATTTTTTTAAGCTAACTAGCCTTTTCCTTCTGCTCATCTCTCAAACTGCCCCCCTAAAATACTGACTGGATGTGACTGATGCTCCTGGGGCCCCTTTCCAAATTATCAAGTAATGCATGTTAAGTATAGTTCAGTGTTTGCTTACAGTTTTTCTTTTGAAATAAAATTTACAAAGAAAAGAAGAAACTACAACTATATATTTGAGTTTTCACACATGCATGTCTCTGTGATTCAAATTCTTGTCAAGATGTAGAACATTTGTCATCACCCCAGAAAATTCGCATGCCCTTTGTGATTTGACCTCTTCTATTCTCAAGAAACAATAACTGTCCTAATTGGTTTCTATCATAGATTACTTTTGCTTATTCTAGAACTTCATAGAAGTGAAACAGTGCGTCATGTAGTGTCTTATGCAAGGCTTCTGTCACTTGGCATAGTTGAGACTATCCATATTGTTATGTATCTCATCAGTGCTTTTTTAATTGCTTCATGGTATAAATAATACATCATATAAATAACCATCATTCCAGTAGGTGTGGCAGTACACACTTGTAATTCCAGCACTCCAGAGGCTGAGGCAGGAGATCGAGGTCAGCTTAGGCTACACATGAGTTCAAGGCCTGCCTGAACTATGTATAGTGAAACCCTTTGTCAAAAACAAGAAAGAAAGAAAGAAAGAAAGAAAGAAAGAAAGAAAAGAGAAGACAAGACAAAAATGAAAGTGACATTTTACCTGTCCCTTCTACTGATGGACACTTGATCTGTTTCTAATTTTTGGCTGTTATGAATAAAGCTGGTATAAACGTTATACAAATCTTTTTGTAAACGTAGGTTTTTATTTCTCTCAGATAAATACTGTGCAATGGAACTGCTGTGTAATAAAAGGTTAATTTTATGAAACTACCAGATCTTTTCTAAAATTGTACTATTTTACACTCCCGCCAGCAATGTATGAATATTTCAGTCGCCTTGCATCCTTGCCGACATTATATGTTGTTGATCTTTTTAATTTTAGTCATTATGATGGGGATATAATGTTTTTGACTTGCATTTTAATTGACTGTGGCATGTGTTTCCTCTGGGAAGAGTAAATAAGGTGATACTAAGCTCCATGGAAATCAGGATAACCAATTGCACCCCTCTGTCAATATGTGTCACCATTCTTTCAGTATAGAAAATGTGAAACGAATATGAAATAATTGTGCCAGTATATGTTTTGACATTTAATTTTGGGAATTTGAAAACATTGAAACCATAAAAGCATGTTAAGTTTGACCAAGAAGATTGTTAGTTGTACTTCATTTGAATAAGGAATTGTTTCTGGGTATTGTGTTTAACATGTCTTTGGTTAAATCCTCAACACTAAAGAAAAAAATAATTCTTATACTAAGAACATTTTTACACTGCTGATTTTTCATAGGTACAAATGATGCAAAATGTGCATCTGGCCCCCGAGACCGATGAAGATGACCTTTATTCTGGATATAATGACTACAATCCAACCTATGACACTGAGGTAAAACAAAAAATCCACTTGTTTTTTACTTTTTTTTTTTGATTAACCAGCTCAGTTGATTCATGAAGACTAGATTTGAGGTTCTCTACTTTCGTACACTTAAAGGTAAATAAGGTGATTCAGAAGCCTAGAAAAGTGCTACTAGGAGAGACTCTTTAACTTATACCCACAGTAAAAATGCAGCTGAGTGAAAGATCATGAGAAAAGTTATGTGTCTGTGTTAAGATGAATTATGTATTTGATTCTTCAGCACTAGCTATATGAAGGCATAACGTAAAGACTTAGATGACTCAGGATATCTAATGCAGGTTGCTAGTGTTCTTGAGTTTGAAATGCCATGTAGGGCTGGAGATTTAGCTCAGTGGCATAAGCACCTGCCTTGCAAGAGTGTGGTCATGAGTTCGATCCCTGGTACTGATAAAAAAAAAAAAAGAAATGCCATGTAGTTATTATTGTTCTACTTAAATTTTATAAGTATTTTAAATAAAAAATAGGAAATAGAGGTATGAGTATAAAGAAAAATCAAAGTCATAGACACCATCAGTATGCAGAAGTAACCAGTACCTCATTGCTTGTTCTGGCTTATCAGGTCCTGCCTAGATCCCTGATCTCCTAAACAAGTGTACGGCAGATGTTTAAATAAATTGAGACAAGTAAAATGACTCTAGGGCTCAGGAGGGTCAAAACTGTTTAGTTGAACTCAAGACTCTGAGGGCTAAGGCAAAGACTTTTCTGGACCGCCCACTTTATTTATTAGGTCCAACAAGGGGCGAGGAAAGTGCAGGCCATGAGCAGGACCTTGGGAGTCACTTTAAGGACGTCTCCAGTAATGAATCAAGTCAATTTAGTAGCACTATCTTATCATGAAGACATGGTAGGAGTGAGACTGTAGGAGTAATTCCTGTGGCTGCAGTCTCTATCACCTTAATTGATGTTTGAGCCAAGTGTCCACAGCTGTGGCCTTATGGTGCCCTTTAAGGTATCTCTGGCCTCACAGATCACTACAGGCCTCAGCCAGGCCCAGTGATTCTTAGAGGTTCAATCTTCTCCTGTTGCCAGGCAAGGGGCCGAGGCCTAGGACAGACTCACAGATAAACATAGAAAGCCAATGAGTTAATTTTAAATCCTGTTCAGAGCAGCAGGGTAGTGGTCTCCAACACTGGCTGTCCCCTGGATGTCCCCGTGTGGTCTCATGCAGTCATAGGTGGGACTTTTTGAGGTGGCTGGATCAGAGTGTGTGATGCCAGGATTAAGGGAGTGTGATTACTGAATCTACTGACAGCTTTGGCATGGTTCTGGGAGTGGATAACGGGGAGGCTTGTCCTGGGTGTCAGTCCTACCTAAGGACAGGTAGCCTTGGTGGGATATAAGGGACAGAAAGAGGGCTACTGTCATGCTGACTGTCTTGTTACTTCGCTGCTTGCTGCTTTGCTGCCTTGCTGACTTCTACAAACTGTTTCTCCTCTGTGACGCCCCTCTGCTAAGCCACCCTGCTTTGGAGCCACCTGATTATTGATGGAAACTAAGCAGAAATACACCTTATTTCCTTCAGCTTTGGATGTCAGGTATTTTGTCTCAGCAATGAGGAAAGTAACTAAGACAGGGCTTAATTGCCGAACATTTTTCCCTACGCAAATACCTGGGTGTTGCCATAGTTGTGGAAAATGGGATCATGTTGTATACTCTTTTGTGATCTGCTTTTGCACATCCATAAATGTTCCATTTATGTCAACAAATCTATCTGCTTAATATTTAATGGCATAAAGGTGATACTGTTACTAAGATAAATATGAATATTTTAGATTTGTTTCCATTTCTTTTGAAAGCTTTCATTTCTGAATTGTAAAAAACCAGTGTGAGGAAAAGTAAGGATGGAGGGATGTGGTTGTTAATGTATTTGTAAGAATCTAAGAAACAAACGCTAGCATTTAGGACGTTGGAAAATCTATTCGAAAGTTTTTTGTGTGGCTTTAATAATTTTTGAAGTATGTTTTTCTGGAGTAAAGCAATATTCTGTGGATTTGCTACCTATAAAGGAAACAAGAAAGAAAGGAGAAACCATTCACTTATTCTATATGAAATAAAATCTAGGTGATACCAATTATTAACAGAAAATGTAAAACATGTAGAACATGAGAAGAAAATAGAAATGAAATAACATCCTGTTGCCAGAGATCACATACACGAATGTATAAGCAGATGTTTTGCTTGTCTCTTAATACACATAGATCCTTCTTGTATACAAACATGCAATGTATACCGAAACGATTATGTAGTCTTTATAAAATTCACATTATAACAAGCTCTTCTGAAGTGTGCATAAATTAATAAAATGATTTGAGATGGATAAGCTTGACTGTGGCAACTTGATTGGCTTGGGAGTCACTTGAGTTGGTGGAGTACTCTTCTGGGTATGTCTGCGTAGGTCATGGAGATGTGACTTGGGATATGTTTCCTGGACCCTTTCATTCTTCCTCTCTTCTGCTTCCTGGTAACCCGTGAACTAAGCAGTTTTCCTTCCCTGTACCCTTCCACAGGCTGTTTCTGCTGTGGAGCCAGGTTACCATGGACTGAAACCTCTAAACCACAAACCAGAGTGAACCTTTAGTCCTTTAAGTTGTAGTAGCCAGGTACTTTGTCCCAGTGATGAGAAAGCAGCTAATGTACATTGAAACTTTTCTGTTCTCCCTGTTAAAAAAAGTAAGACATCTTTACTGATGAACACAGGCTTGCCATCACTCAGAAATAACTCCTATTAACGTTTTGGCTTTCTTTTATTCATTTCTGTACTTTTCTTTTTTACCATATTTAGGACCAAATTAGCATTTACTTTTCTGTTTGCTTTTTTATATTCAACTACATCATAGTCAATGTCTTATGATACTAAAATTTAAATAAATATGAGTTTAATGGCTGCATAATACTGAAAATATAGTCAATTAGAAGTATTTTCTCATGTTATTTTTTCATAGTTTTCTGCAATTGCAAATGTATGTTCTAATCACTTGAAACAATTGCTTCAGATGTTCATAGAATATGGAATTTGTTAATCAAGGCATGAAGAAAAAGTTACAAAAAGTTATGTGTGGAGTTTGTAATTAGACAATTTATTGACCATGGTTTTTAGTTTGTTATTTAGTTATCACTGACTGAGATAATTAATGAAATTTTGCTAATAGTGTAGGAGTCTTTTTTTTTTTTTTTTTGTACCAGGAATCAAACCATGGCCTCTCACTTGCCAGATAGATGCTGTGCCGCTGAGATGCGGTGCCAGCCTAGTTTAGGAATCTTAGAGGGAAATCCTTTGCCAAAAGATTTGCGAAAATAGAAGTACTGTCTGGTTAATTATCTTCAAGGTTGACTTTGGCTTTATACTTCAAATGAAACTTTCCTGTCTTTACTGCTGAGAATTTTATACTTAGTTTTGTGTAGTTGATATGAAAGATAAGTAAAAGTTAAAAGAAGAATGCTTGTGTATAATAGTCATGTTGGAAGTGCACTGATTTGCATCCTAAACATTTCATTCTCATTATCTGCAGACTTTACAAAGTTAATTGGTAGTGACTATTCAATGTACATTGTTTGTTTTAGCATACTTGGCAAGTGTTTAGTCCTTTTCCTGTTGCTGTAATAACATGCCTGAGATTGTGTAATGCACAAAGAAGAGACATTGATTAGAATCACAGTTTGGGAGGCTAACAGTCCCACATCGGGCCACCCTGATCTGTTCTTTTTCTGGTGGGAACCCGTTGGCTGGATCCCTGCATAGTAACTGACAACATGGGAGAGGTTCATACAAGAGAGACAAATCACATGATGAGACAGGAAGCCAGAGAGTGCAGAGGGGCCAGTTTTGCTCTTCTTTGTTAATGCATTCTCTTAGCAACTAATTCCACAACATCCGCAATAATCCTTTCAAAGAGAAGTGCCCTCAGTGACCTAGTTATCCTCCAGTACCCCCAATTCTTAAGGGTTGCCTGTCCTTAACACTGCCACACTGAGGACCAAGCCTCCATCATGTGAACCTCCAGGGAATAGATGTTCCCTGAAAGCCTTTTTAGAGATGGCGGATGTGGAGTTTTGTGATGGTGGATTAAGTGTGTGTGCTGCTGAGATCAAGGCTGTGCATGCATGAGTCCTACCTGCTCTAAGGCATGCAGTGTAAAAGAAGGCTGCTGATGTGTCACTGGTCCTTCCTTGCTGTTTTGATGCTTTTCCTGCTGTGAATTCTTTTCCTCTGCCATACCAACCTGCCTTAGAACCAATTGATTATGGACTGAAACCTCTACAAACTGTGAGCTAAATAAACCTCTTCCCCTTTAACTTTAGTGTTGAGTATTTGTCTCAGCAACAAGAAGAAAGTAAGATATCAAACCTCTTATCAGCATATTAAACCACAACACTCACATGGCAGGAAGCAGACAGGATAAAGTGTGAACACTCTGCTCACTGTGTGTCTGGAGCATTACAGCCAGATCATGTGTTCCAGAAGCAGAGATGCAGACTGGAAAGAAGACTGACGGGAAGATTGGGTGCCTTTTGGAACCCAAGAAACCCAGCAACATTTATTTCTCTGCCCTGGCTAATGCTCCTTTAATTTCCTGAGGAGAAATATAAATACTGTATAGAATGAGAATTTGCAAAGCTAAATAGCTTTCATTTCAGTTGAGACTTTGGTTCCAAATGACAATGCAGGTTGTGATATAGGGGAAAACATAACTCCAATCTGCTAGATGTGAGATACGTGGAGTTCATGGCCCCCAAAATCTAGGGATGAATTGTACGGAACAGTGGAGGTTCAGAGTAGGAAAGATTTATTCAGCGATTGCTCCTGAGAGATAGGAGGAGACTTGAAAGTGGGTTACCACCAAGACCACTTCTCTAAGAATGTTTTATAAGAGCAAGTCACAAAGTGGGTAAAAGAAAAAATCAGACAAATTTAATGTGGATCAAACTAAAATCAAGAAGACTGCAAGTATCTGCTTAGCTAATATTGATCTGATAGAATAACAGTTATGTAACAAGAGTACATGGAAGAAACAAAGCCAAATTTTGGGGTAGGGATGAATCCAGATGCTCTGGTCACTAACCTGGGTGACCTCATTCCTATCTGGACTTTCTTGGACCATGTGATACCAATTACAGTATAACCCCTCAGGGAGGCATGTAGGCCTGCTCTTTGCATCTTTATCTTAAGGCCTGACTTTTTTCAGGTGCGCCTCCAGCGACAGTTCTGCTGTCTTTATTTTTCTGCTGACTTCCTTGAGAGCCCAGACCCTCTGACTGTATATTAATTTCTCAAGTGAAGCTTGTGATGGTTGGATGTGGGCATCCTGGTGGGCATTCTGTTTGCATGTATCAGTTCCAGTCTCAGACTCTATCTCTGCATCTCTGCTTGGGAAGTAGAGATGGACCAAAGAAAGTGTTTGCTTCCTTTTTTAATAGAGAATATGGCCTTCTCTGCCCTTCAGGTTTTCGGGTAAACCTCAGCACATGGGAAAAAAGAGGAGGGAAAGATTATGGGTGTGAGGAGGAAGAAAACTATGAATCTGTGCTCTTGCTTGCTTAGCTACCAGGAAGAAGGAGAAGAAAGGCCATATCCTTGTAAACGTGATCTTTTAATCGCGCATTATAACATTGCCCATCTGAACAGTAGTCAGTAAGAGTACCTTACAGTTGACCAGCACAGCCTGCCCTCCTCTTTGGTGGGGAGAAGGGAGTCTTGATGTTTGGGGGGCAAGTCTGAGGACAGAAATGTTGAGTCACAACCCAGAAATCAGCATTTGGGATAAGATAGACAACTGTAAACATCAAACAGGAGTAAAGGTTTTTTTTTTTTAAATTGTCACGGCATTTTGAATGTTAAATGTGGCTTTTCATTTTAGGAGTTGGAGAATGATACAGGTTTTCAGCAAGCAGTAAGAACCAGTCATGGCAGAAGACCTCCAGTAAGTGAACCTGAAAAAAATTCTGATAAAAGTGACATACAGTTTACCATTTTCACCATTTTAAGTGTCAGTCCATGCAAATGTTCAGTACATTCACATTGTTGTGACACACATCTTCAGAGTTCTCGCATTTTGTAAATCTGAAACTCCGTACCCATTAAACAGTCGCTCGTGATCTCCACCTCCCTCAGTGCCAGGTCCCCACCATTCTGCTATGCATCTGTGAACTCCACACCTTGACTCCTTCATAAGTGTAATTATGGAGTGTTTCATCTTTTTGTGACTGATGTACTCCCTTAGTATGTCTTCAATTCTATCCATGTTACAGCACACTGCAGGATTTTTCCTACTTAAGGTTTCTGTTGTATATACGTGTCTGTGTATATACATGTCTGTCCATTCATTTGTGTGTACATGTTTGTCCATTCATTGGTCACTGGAAAAATGTGACCCATTTTTATTTTTGAGCTGTAGGAGTTCTTTATATATTTTAGATATCATTGTCTTTTCAGATATATGATTTGCAAATACTGTTTCCCATAAGTTGCACTTTCATGTTGTTGATTGTATTCTTCAATGCACAACTATTTTGTAGTTTTATATAGTTGTGCTTGTGGTTTTTTGTTTTATTGCTATGCTTTTGGTCTTGTACTCTAGATATCATTACCAAGATTAATGCCATGAAGATTGCTCCCCTGTGTTTTCTTCTGGGAGTTTCATAGTTTTAGATCTTAGATTTAGGTCTCTATTGTGAGTTAACTTTTATGTATAGTGCAAAATAAAGGGCCAGTTTCATTCTTTTGCACATGGATATCTGGTTTTCCCATACCATTTGTTGAAAAAAACTGTTCTTTCCTCCATTTAATGGTCTTGGCACCCTTGTCCAAGATTATTTTGCTGTATTTATTTCTAGATCTCTTTTCTGGTTCTTTTATCTGTATATGTCTTTATGCCAGTGCCACACTATTTTTTTTTTGTTTTTGTTTTTGTTTTTGTTTTTTTAAGTCGGTACCAGGGATCGAACTCATGACCACACGCTTGCAAGGCAGGCACTTATGCCGCTGAGCTAAACCCCCAGCCCACCAGTGCCACACTATTTTGATTGCTATAACTTTATAATATGTTTTAAAATTGGGAACTATAAATCTACAACTTATTTTCTCTTCTTCAACATTGTTTTAGCTTTTCAAGGACCCTTGATATTCCATGAGAATTTTAGAATGAATTTTTCTATTTTTTTAACATAAACCTTTCTTTTTAATAAACTATGAAAAACTAATAATATAACTATTTTGTATTTTTTCCCTTTCCTTTCTTTTTTCCTTTCTGCTACCCTAGTTCCTCTTTCCTTTTGAGTAATTTTTTCCCATTTCACAATATTTATCGTGTACTTTGGATCTTATTTACTTTTAGTTTCTCACACTAGAGAGGTAATATGATGTTTACACATGTGAGTCTGATTTATTTTACTTAAAGTATGGTCTCAAGTTGCATCTATTTACCTATAAATGTCTCAAGTTTGTCTTTTTTTTTAAGTTTATCTTTATGTCTGAGTAGTACTCCATTGTATAACAACAAACACATCTTTATTTTATCTATTCCTTGGATGAGGGGCCTTTAGGTTGTCTCCAAGATTTAACTATTACAAATGGTGCTGCTATAAACATGGGTACATGTATATTGCTGTGGTGTGATATTTTTAATTCTTCCAAGAAGATACCTAGAAAGGGAATAGCTGTGTCAAATGGGACCGCTAATCCTAGTTTTTTGAGGAGTCCCCTCACTGATTTCCACATGGTTGTACCAGTCTACACTGTCATCATTAATGGAGAAGAGTTTCTTTTACCCCACAGTCCCATCAGCATTGGTTATTGATTGATTTCTTGATGATAACTATTCTTTCTGGAGTGAAATGGAATCTCAGAGTTGTTTTAATTTGTGTCTCTCAAATGACCAATGATGTTGAACATTTTTTCATATATTTATTTGTCATTTGTATTTCTTCATCTGAGAAGTACGTATTCATTTCAGATACATTTTTGGATTGGGTCTTTGAATTTGGGGGATCTAATTATTTTTTCAAATCTTTGTATGTTTTTGGTATTAGTCTTTTGTGAGAGGAACAATTAGCTAAAATATTTTCCCACTCTGTGGGTTGTTTCTTCACTCTGTTGGCGATTTCTTTTGTTATACAAAAGCTTTTTAATGAGATCCTAGTTCTTGATTCTTTGTTATATTTCCCATGAGAGTTGGGTTTCCTATCCTTTTTAAATTTTTTTTTAATTTTAAGAGGATAAAACCAAGGATACTAAAATAGAATAAAATCTATCAAAACAAACCAGTGTAAGTGATGCAGGACTTCAGAACATTACAAAATCAACAATAGTTACTGTAATGCCTTTTGTTGTCTCTAAAATAGCTGCAGATACCTTTGGATATGGTAAAAATCAAACAGAACAGAACAGAATAGAAACAATAAAAACAAAACAGTGAATGCAATAAGGGGCTTCAAAGCAAGCCAATAGTAAATCCCAAATGGCTACCATAATATATCTTGCTATCTTTGAAGTAGCTGCTTCTGCGGTTAGATTTAACATAAACAAAACAAAAGAGAATAAAACCCAACAACACAATGGAAACAATATAGGACTTCAAAACATGACAATAGAGAAACAACAATGGCTGCAGCCTTCAGGAGATCCCCCTAGATGTCACACTGCACACCGCTGTCCTCTGAACCTATGATCAGGGCACTGGCCCTAGACCTGCAAAGTCTGTGAAACACAAAACACCACACCATCAGATGCATTTCACCTCAATAGCTATCATCATCACTTCCTGTGTTTCTCTGGATCAGACATTTGCTTATGGGGGTGGAGGGCTTCGTTCTTCTTGTTTCCCATCTGGTGGGCAGGAAAGGATGGGGGTCTGGCTATCCCCAGTGCTGTGGCAGCCCGTGTATGGCACTGGTTCCTGGATGGGGATTGCTTTCTGGTGTGGCCTTCCCTGTCCTCGCAGTCCACAAATGATGCTACTCATGGGGAGAGGCTGGGGTCTGGCTGTCCGCAGTCTAGCAGAGGGCCTGCATGGCGCTGATTCTCAGACAGGGCTTGCTTCCTGGTGTGGCCTTGTTCTTTCTCCCCACAGTCTGCAAATGGCATTGACCATGAGGAAAGGGTTGGGTCTGGCTGTCCCCAGTCTGGTGGCGCCCCACACATGGGGTTTCCTGTTCCTAATAAATGAATTTGTTCAGGCCAGGGATTTAGCTCAGTGATAGAAGCATCTGCCTGGCAAGTGCTAGGTTGTAAGTTTGATCTCTGATATATTAAAAAAAAAAAGAATTTGTTCCATGCAACAACATGGACAAATGTTAAAATACTTATAACATGGACAAATGTCAAAGTAATTGTACTGAATTAAAGAATCTAAACAAAAAATGCATTTTTTATTTCATTTGGATGACACTGGAACACCCAAACTAATTTACGAAAAAACCTGGTTAATACTTGCCAAAAGAAGGAGAGTAGGGGGTAGGGAGGACAGATAGGAAGGAGAGATTATAAAAGGATGTGGGGAAATTTTGGGACTGATGGTTATTGTGGTGTTGATTTCACAGATATATGTATGTGTCAAAACTAAATAAACTGTGTAATTAAATGATTATTTTGGAAATAAGGTCTCACTGTATACCTCAGAGTGACTTTTAACTAGTGGTTCTTGTGCCTTGGCTTTCTTAGTGCTGGGATTACAGGTGCTCAGCCTGCTAAACTGAATATTTAAATGTATGTATTTTATTATATTTTCAGTATGAAGCTGTTAATATAAAAAATTTTTCCATTTCTAAAATTACATGAAAGCCATATACTTCTTCAGGTAGAAAAGAACCTAGAAAAGTAATAAATGTGTTCAGAATTTATGGCATTTTTTTCAAGGTCCTTCCTGGAGTAGAAAATAGGAGAATCATGTTTTGTAGTTTTGCATCTTCTTTCCTCCACACTAGCTATCTTTTTAAAAGAGCGGAACATATTTACTGAGAGAGAGACAGAGACAGAAGGGGTCCCGAGTGGATTGTCAAAGACTGACTTTTCTAGGGACTTTTATAGAGCAAAACAGTGAGGTAAAGTGGGTCTAAGATGGGGAAAAATGGAAACGTGCAAGGCAGGCAGACATGAGGTGGGATATAACTACAGTCAGCCAATAAGATTATGAGTATAATTGCTTAGGTAAGATTGATTAAATTAGAGACCAATAGGAAAGCAAATCATGTAGCAAGCAGGAACAGGGCCTTTGTCTGTAGGGGGTTGGATTAGTGGCTTCTGGCTTGCTCCAAGTGATTGATAGGTATCAATCCCTGATGTTTATCCTTAGGGAGTGGTTGCATTTGTTTTGTCTTTCCTCTTGAGATCTGGCCTGCTGCAGAGGTGTCTGTCTCCTCCAAGGTGCAAGATACCTGGTCTTCTGCACTGGCTCCTTCAAGGGCTGAGCCCTGTTTGACTGCCTGTAATATTTCTATCTTATGTAGCTGCCTATAACATTCCCCGCTCTGAAGAAGTGTCTCGAACTGCCTTGAGGGAATAATGGACAATGAGCAATCTGGCTTCTTCAGGCTGAAGGGAGTGGTAGTTGTTGGTCAGCAGTGTGAGATACTCTGCAGAGGTTCTATCTAAAGACCCTCAAAAGACACCAGGCATTTTCATCTTTGGTAGGCATACAGCTTTAACTCTGGAGGAAACAAAGCCAAAGAAACAAATACATATGGGCCAAATAACAGAATCAGTAGGATAATTATGAGTACAATTAAGAAAGCTTTCTACTAGGAGAAGCTAGTAATATCTTCCCATAAAGCAGATAAGGGTAAGGTCTAGGGAATTTTAGAGTCTGACATGTCATTGATTTGTTGTCTTAATATCTTCAGCAGCTATTGAGATATTAGTAGAAGGATCCGGAATGTACATGCAGCATTCAGTTAAGATCTGTTTCTTTTAAGGCCATTACAAGGGCAGCCTCTGTTTGGTCTGTTTTCTCTTTGCCTTTCTCCCAGTCCTGATCATGGAATACTAAGGAGGCAGTTGTTACTGAAGTATTAAGTGAACTATCTGGAGCAAAGGCTATCTTTTTCTGTATTTGAGGCTGACTGGATAGTAAACTTAATTTTAAGAATAATTTGTCCCTGTATTGAACCAGGATCTAGGGAAGTATGTTTTATTCATGCCTTTCATAAATGATTTAAGAAGGCAGAGGGGTGTTCTTTTTTTCTTGTTGAATAGCTAGAGATGATCTTATGTGAAGAGGATCTTACTCTAGAGTGTTCTTTTTTCATTTAAAATCAAGAAAGTTTAGACTTATTGGGAGGGAGAGAATGGCCCATCTCAGGAGTTAATGGAAAGTCTCCAAAGGTTGATACCATAGTCCCAAGCCTGCACTTATCCCTCAGGGAAGTATGAAAAGTCAGCCATTGTGTATTCATGGTCCTTAATAATGTAATAAGCTGTAAGACAAAACAAAAAAAAGATACAGTGTAAATTGCTATGGGATCACAAAGAGAAGTTATTTATCCTGAGTTGGGCACTCAGGAGCAGCTGTTTAGAAAGTAAACTCAAGGTTGACTGCAAAGCACCTTGAGACCTTGAGGTAGAAGAGGAGGAGCTTCGCAGTGAGGAAGGAAGGAGATGGGGGGGAGCTGCTCGGTGCCGCACCGCCATCAAAGAGCAAACCCCCAGATGCAGGCATAGATGGTAGGTTTAAACAGCAGTCCCTTTTTCTCAGTTGTACCCATGGAAGAAGTGCTGAGACCCATATCCTCCCTTTCTAGCACTTTCTGAGACCTGGAGCCAGCCTTCTCAGCCATGAGGTATAAGCCTTGGAATGTAGGGCCAAGAGCCAGTGATTAGAGTTCACCAAGCAACCTCCTGTGTTCCTGTCTGTAATTCAGGGATCTGTTTGCCTACAAAGTTAGCAGATTTATACTTTTCTCTCAAATGATATTTTTGTTATTATTCTGTTTAAAATATTTGCTAATTTGCATGGTGATTCCTTCTTTGACTCATGTATTATTTAGGACTATATTTCTTAATTTCCAGACACGTAAATGTTCAGATTACCCTTGTATTACTGACTTCTGACTCTGTCCTTAGAGAACAAAATCTATGATTTCAAGTCTTTGGAATTTGTTCATATTCCAAGTACATCTTTTAAAGAATGTGTATTCTAACTTTGATACGGACAGTGTATAATTAGATCATATGTAATGATGTTGCTTAGATGTTGTATTATATATATATATATATATATATATATGTATTAGTTTTTTTGTACGGACTCAAACTCACAACCTCATGTTTGAAAAGCAGACATTGTGCCATGGAGCCATATCCCTGGTTTGATGTTTTATATTTTTACTTTTTTTTTTTTTTTTTTTTTTTTTGGTCTACTGGTTCTACTGTTAGTGAGAAAGTAGTTAAATCTTGCATTATTGTTAGGGATGTTTATTTCTCTTTTTGGTCTTTTGCATCATATGTTTAGAATTGTTTTATCTTCATAGTAAATTGAACTCTGTCATAACTTTGATTGTTAAATGTCTATTCTAAATGCCTTTTGTTTATTTTGTCAGTTATTAATATATTGATATAGTTTTACAAACTATTTTTGTCTATTTGTTTTATGTTTGCCTGGTATTTTTACTTTTACTTTTCCAGTGTCATGCATTTAAAGTATGCCTTATGACAGCAGATAATTGAGTTGTTTTTTAAGTACAGTTTGACCATCGTGTTCATATAGTAAAGCATCCTAATTATGTTTAACTTAAAATTTATCATCTTATTTGCTTCTTGTTTTTTCTTGCCTCCTTTAAGTTCCATTTTTCTTTCTGTTTTTTGCCTTGTTTTTGTTACTCCGTTTCTCTTTTGGTGTTTCGGTGGTTTGCGTTCTTTAAAGACTTTTCTTGGTATTACTCTACAGGGTACAGCACTCATCTTTAACCTACAAAGTCTGGCGTAAACTAGTAGTTGTATTCTTCATGGGCTGAGCCACAATTTTACATTGTTTTTAGTTCTATAATTTCCATTTATTCCTTTTCTGTTACTTTTAATTCTCTGCTAAAATCACTTTATCTCATGAAAGCATGGTTATGTTAAAATCTGTTTCTGGTATTCCCATTATCTGTATCCCCTTGTGGATTTCTTTCCATTTGTTTGTTCCTCTTAATTTTTTGATTAGGGTGTCATCTACTGTGTGACTTGTGGTTTTTGTTGTTGTTGTTGTTGTTTTTGTTATTTGTTGTTTTGCTGGGAATCCAACCTAGGGCCTGTGCCTGCCCCACCACGGACCCACATCCTCAGCCATTGTCTGGCTGTTTTTGATTGAATGTCAGACACTGTAAGCAAAAAATTATGTAGAGATAATTTATTATTTTATGCCTGTGCTGTCCAATGTTATAGCCAACTGCCACACATAGCTATTTACATTTAAATTATATAAAATTTAAAATTCAAGTCCTTATTACTCTAGCCCCATTTCAGATACCCAATAATTCTGTGTGTGACCATCAGAAAAGACAAGAGTCTCTGTTCCCACAGCAAGTTCTGTTGGCTAGCGTACCACTCAAGCATCTTTCACTAGGGAGGATTTGCTTTTACTCATGACCTGCGCAGCAGAAGGGCTCTCTGACCGCCTTAATCCAGTTGGATCTGAGATAGTTCTAAGTTGGACTTCAGCCTTCGTGGAGGGTGGTGTACTTCGATTTATCTTTCAGCCTAGCGTGCAGCCTTTTGAGATCACAGGCCTGGAGGACTCCCTCAACCCCATGTGTGTGTTTTCAGCCTGTGAGTCTGTCAGAAGCCATACTCTGCTTTCTCAGCCAAACCTTCAGAGTGAACAGGATGAAGGAGAGAAATAGCCCCAGCACAAGCGCCCGCTCTAGCTGATCCCTCTCTCTTAGTTCAAGAACTTGCAGTTCTTCACTTGAAGATTTTCTAGTGCATTCAAACTGATTTAAAAACAATTTTTTTTGTCCTCAGACTTTTTATTCTTAGTTCTTAGGTTTTTAAAAGTATATTCTGTTTACGAATAATATATTTAGTCAAATATTTCAAATAATAAGTTCAACAACTAGCATTTTAGGGTACTTTCATGTGGTTCTATTTTGTGTCATCTGTAATTTTGTAACCAGTATATTTTGTGTCTTTATTTAAAAGATGAGCAAATTTAGGTTCAAAGATACAGAAGAAGTAGTTAGTTAAGGGGGCTGAGAGTCCGTCCTGGGTGCCCAGATCCTGAACCCTCTGCCTGTTGTTTGGGCTCATAACTGGCTGCACTATGCATGATTTAAGTGTCACAAATGCTCGCTGCAGCATGGAGCAGGTCCTTGGTAACAGCTTGGGCCGGTCTGCAGTCCCCTTCTCCTTTAAAGTGATTTGAAACTGAGTCTTCTTCCGAATCCCTCAGTAACCAAGCTCCCTAATGTTGAAGGTAGTGTAGAAGAACTCATACTAAATATTTATAAATCTATTTATTGATGAGATTGTGTTTTTAATTTCTTTGCCAACTTTCTATTATATAGCTTAATCTGAATCCTGTTAACCATGTTCTTTTTCTTCCCCAAGATAACTGCTAAAATACCAAGCACGGCAGTTACTAGACCTATAGCTACTGGATATGGGGTAGGTTTTTGTAAGCTGAAAATACCAAGATGAATTTTCTTATATATAAGCTCACATTAGGTAGTTCTAAATATTTTTGGCTGTTTTTCAGTTCATGACCCAGATATATTAACCACTTTGGATAGTTATGAACATTTTAAAAAGGTCATTTAATTAACACCTTTGAACATTTTAGTCTTGATTTGTACGTACGTCAGAAATACTTTATTATTCTATTCCATTTGTAAACCTTGTTTGTTGATTGACTTCTGTTTATTTTTTATGTAACATAACCAAGTCTTATGTGTTTTCCATTCATGTATTTTATGTGAAGCTAGATATTATTTAAATGTAATTTTTATATTTGTTAAAAATAGCCCTTAATAAATAAAGAACGGGGTAGAACAGCATTTGCTAATCCTTATGATAAAAATTTTCTAAGGGATCAGTAATGGTTTGAGAACCCAGAGCTCTAGACACTTGCTTCCATCGTGTTCTTTGTATGCATGAAGCCAGCAGCATTCTGAATTACATAGCACAGTGCATCAGAGGAATCATGCTTTTATTAATTTGGCCCAATGCATGTTACTCATAAATTTGATTTTGGATGCTGTGTCAGAATGAGAAATAGCGAGGTGTAGCTCTGAAGGGCAGTGTCTTAGGCAGTGCAGGGCGGGTGGTCTTTGTGGCGCCATTCATGCATCTCTGCCCTTGTAGTGTGAAAGCAGCCAGGCAGCTGGAAGTGGATTCCAGTGGAGCTTCATTTAAAGGGTGCGGGTTATAGTTTGCCTACTTGTGTTTTAAAGTTTGATCCCTTATTCTCAGGTGATAAATGGGAAAAAATACATTCCAGTTTACTCCATGATATAACGAGGAAAACAATTACAAAGAAAATATTTGTAAATATTTGTAAAATTTGTAAATATTTGTAAAATTGAAGGCAGCTGTCTTTAGGTATCTTTTTGACTGGCTTTTCTGTTTACTAGTCCAAAACATCCTTGATGTCATCAATGGGAAGACCGATGACAGGAGCTATCCAGGTACCTGTCTCATATGTTGGTTTTGTGCCTTTCTTGTGACTTAGAATTTATTACTAAAATTTCCTCCCATTTTAGATTTTAAAATGTTAAATAAAATGTTTTTATAATAATTATGATTCTTTAATTTGTGGGCTATAGTTGGGTCTGCTCTAAATGTTTGGAGGCATGCTGTCCTTGGATTTACTCAGGTCTCAAGACCTGTGTGGGCGGAGAATTGCTAGTCTGTTTATGCTTTTCTTCCAGTGACGCCACTTACAACAATTTCTGTGGTTTCTGTCATGAGCATATTGAACAGCTAAAAGTGGCAGAGCAGCTAACTAATAAGCTAACTTGGTACTTTTTTTTTTTTTTTAACTGAGAGCAGTCCAATTGGGTCAACGAATGAAATGTTATAGCAGAAAGAAAAGGTAGAGATAGGATTGATCCTTGAGATACAAAGGAGGCAGAAGGAAGGAGTAAGTGCATAGTAACTTTAAAATAAGTATTAAAATTAAGGCTATATTAAAATGTATGTCATGTGTAGCAGTTGATTTTATCTAAGAATATTTGTAAATAATCCCTTTTCTTTGAAGGATGGAGTTACGAGACCCATGACAGCAGTGAGAGCAGCTGGGTTTACCAAAGCAGCTTTGAGAGGTTTGTTCCACCATTTCTACTGGTCATTTTTTCAGATTGCTTAAATTTGTACTGATACTGTTCATATAAATGTCATTTCCATATTAAATAAAATTTAAAATATCATTGATTTTAATTGAGCATTATTTTAGGTAATTAAGAAAGGCAAAGGATCTGGGCACGGTGGTGCACACCTGTAATCCCAGCACTTGGTAGGCTGAGGCAGAAGGATAGCCACGAGTTCCAGGCCAGCCTGGGTTGCATAGCAAGTTCCAGGCCAGCCTGAATTACGGGGTGAGATCCTGTCTCAAAAGGAAAAAAAAGAAAGAAAAGAAAGGACAAGGATGATGAAATTGGAATGGTGTCCCACTGTGTAATTTTTCAAAATATGTTGAATTGTATATTTAAAACATGCATTTTACTTTATGTAGGTTATATTTAGAAATAAAAAGTTAAAACACCATAAATATCGAAAAGTTAAATGTAATTAAAACATAGGACTATGGTAAAATGTTTATTACACCAATAAGGAAAATTAGAAATTCAATACAAAGTTATATTTATACTACTGATGATTTTAGAGTTGATATAGATCAGTGCAATAGAGTAAATAGTGACAGCATATCTGATTTTTGTTTTTACATGTTAACCCACTAGTTTTATTTGCAGCTTCATGAAAGCATATTTTAAAAATCTTGCCAATTTCTTGATATATGCACTATGTGATTGTAATGTTATATCCATTTAATAAATAGGTAATTAAAACATTTAATAAGGTAAATTCCTTATACAAGATTTCATGTATTCACATTCTCTTCCGTTGTGTTGGGTTGCAAATTAAATATGAACTCTTGAATTGTGTCTCAGGTTCTGCATTTGACCCCCTTGGTCAATCAAGGGGCCCTGCCCCTCCTTTGGAAACCAAGAATGAAGATAGGTATGCAAGTCTTCATGCTGCTGTTTGTTTATTGTTCTACATATTTTTATTTTCCACCTAGATGACTTTTAAAAGCTTCTACTTTTAGTTTGAAACTTAGTTTTACATTTTTCTATTTTCCAAATCTATAATTTTAAAAAATTGTGTAATAGGTAAGTATTCAAAACAGCATTCCTCATTCTTGGAACTAGAGAAAGAGTCAAATCTAAGAGTAGTTATGTGTGCTGTGTGCTTTCATTAGGATATAATTTGGTTTGAAGATGTCCATTTTTTATGAGTGCCAGTAAGAGTGATTCAGAGGCCAAGTGGGATCGCTAAATCTTCTGATTATTTTAAAAGGATATTTTCAGAGAAAAATATCAAGAGCACCCAGAGCAAGTTAATCTGTCATGATACTGTTGAGTGGCATGTTTATTATTCCATGTAGGCATGTGTGTTATTCCATGTGGGCATGTGTGTCACTCCTTGTGGGTGCGTGTGTCGCTCCATGTGGGCATGTGTGTTGCTGGGGATCAAACCCAGTGCCTTTGTTCTTTTTTTTTTTAACTTTATTTTAAAGAGATTAAGGCAAAACAGGACATAAGAAAGCAGATCAAAACAGAACAATGTAAGCAACACAGAATTTCACTAGAAGACAACCTGTAATTAATAGTAACTACCACAATGTCTCTTTCTTTGAAATAGTTGAGTATAACTTTATATCCAATAGTATCAAACATGACAAAATAGTATAAAAACATTCAAGAGAATGAGAGTATTACAGGGCATTCAGAACCAAATAACAGAAAACAAACAATAGCTAGTATAATGTCTCATTTTCCATAGAAAATTTGTTTATACTTTCACACGTAATACAGTCCAATAAGGTACAACATGATAGAGCCAATGGAAACAGAAGAGCAAAAGCATGGTAGGACTTCAGAGTAAGATGATATTATACCAGTACTGGCTATTATAATGACTTGTTTCCCTCAAATTAGCTGTTCATACCATCACAGTTAATAAAATCAAACAAGGACAAACCCATTACAGCTAACCAATGTGATCATTATAAGGTTTCAAAACAATGTAATGGGGAATCATGGTTACCATAAACTCTTATGTACTCTTACTGTTTCTTACACTAGAGAGACTATAAGATATTTATATATGTGAGTTTATTTCACTTATGAGTATGGTCTCAAGTTGCGCCCATTTGTTAGTAAATATCTCAATGTGATTATTCTTTATAGCTGAGTAGTACTCCCTTGTATAAAAATACCACAACTTTTTTATCCATTCCTCAGTTGATGAACACTTAGGTTGTTTCCAAGATCTGGCTATTACAAATTGTGCTACTATAAACATGGGTGCACATATGTCACTGTGGTATGATATTTTCAGTTCTTCTGGGAATATGCCCAGAAATGGAATAGTTGGAACAAATGGGACTTCCAATCCCAGCTTTTTTGAGAAATCTCCAGACTGAACTCCACAGTGGTTACACCAGTCTACACTCCCACCAACAGCACGGGAGAGTTCTTTTTTCCCCACAGCCTCTCCAGCATTTGTTGTTGGTAGTTTTCTTGATCCTGGCCATTCTTTCTGGAGTGAGATGGAATCTTAGTGTTGTTTTAATTTGCATTTCTGTAATGACTAATGATGATGAACATTTTTCCATGTGTTTATTTGCCATTTGTATTTCTTCATCTGAGAATTGTGTATTCATCTCAGATGCCCAGTTTTGGATCGGATCTTTGAATTTCGGGGATCTGATTTGTTTTAATTCTTTATATGTTTTAGACAGAAGACCTTTGTCTGAGGGACAGTTCACTAAGATTTTTTTTCCCAGTTTGTGGGTTTTCTTTTCACTATGCTGGAGATTTCTTTTGACTTGCAGAAACTTTTTAATAAGACGTGATCCCAGTTAATGATTCTGGGAAATAGTTCCCATGCGGTTTGATTCCCGTTCATGAATTCTCTGTCTACCCCAATGTCTTCAAGATGTTTCCCTACTTTGTCTTCCAACAGATTTAGTGTTTCGGTTTTAATATTCAGACCTTTGATCCATTTAGATTTTAGTTTAGCATATGGTGATAGGCATGGGTCTAGTTTTAGTTTTTGGCATATGGAGAGCTGCAGTCTTGTCTTCGAGATCTGAAATTCTATCTTCACTTTCGTTGAGTCGGTTTTGACAACTTTCACTGGAATTTTTGATTTCCTGTATATTTCTTTGAATCTGCTTTATGTATTCTGTTTGTTTTTTATATTGTTCATCCAGGGACTCTATCTTTTTGTTTTGTTCCTCTGATTTTTTAACTATGTCTTTTTTGATGTGTCCAGCATCTCTTTCATTATTTTATCATTTCTTCTTTTACCTGGGAGATTATTTCTAGTTTGAATTCCTTCAAAGCTTCCCGGAGTTGCTTCTTTATTTCAGTTAGTATTATATCAGGTATTTCAGGTGTATGGCATGTATTTTCTTCTATGTACATGGCTCTTAGGCTTTCTTGGGATGTGCTGGATGTTTTAGATTGCATTTTGGTCTTTCATTTTGTCATTTTCTTATATTTTCATGTTTCAAGTGTTGTTCCAAAGCTTCCCCTGGGCATGTTAGAAATTGTCTCCTATGTCCTGGGCTCCTGGGATTCTTCTGTGTAGCTCCTTGCTTGGGCAGCAAGGCCCCCAGATTAAAAGAAGGTTATCAGGGGAGGCTCAGGTAGGCCTAAAGCCTCCTCAAGCCGCGCAGCTCCCCCCTCAGGCAGCAAAGCTCCCCGGACTGAAAGAAGGCCACCAGACAAGGTCCAGGCAGGCCCGAATCCTGCCAAGCCCAATCTAGTGTGGCCGCAAGCCTGGAGGTCCCCAGTCACCCAGAGCAAGGATCTCAAACTCTTCCGGGGATCACATGTTGTGCAGGCATCCAGCTCCTCAGTGGCAAAGCTCCTCAGGCTGAAAGAAGGTCACCTGCGAGGCCTGAATAGGCCCCAAACCTTGTCCAGCTCCCTCCTCCAGATAGCAGCGGCAGCAGCACAGCAGCGGCAATCCCCAGACCAGGAGACAGTCGCTGGCAAGGCCTGAGCAGACCTCCACAGGGCAGCTCCCTCCTCCCGATGCTGACTCCACTGCCTTGTTCTTACTAAGCATATGCGCTAGCATTGAACTACATACTCAGCCTGATCAATTTAATTTTTTATACATTAACTTAGTTTTGTGCTGTGATAGCTGGTAACTAAAGTAATCATTCATACAGCTATATAAATTACAGATACTTAAGTACCTTGATGTATACATTTTATAAATAATAATCACAGCAGTCACTAAGAAAGCACCCAGGGGAAGACTTCGTTGTTTTGAAAAAAAAATTATGATACTTGGGAATAGCTTTCATGGAATGAATAGAAGCTTAATTGGGCTTTACTATTTTGATGCATTAAGGAGAAATGGTATAAATTTACTTTATTGTATAATCTTATTTTTCTAATAATAGTTTGTGTTGGGGAGAAATTGAGATTTTAGTCAAGGATACAAATTTTTAGTGAGGATGTCTAAGTCCAAGAGACCTGTTATAAACCATGTTGACTGTAGTTGAGAACAATGTCATACACTTGAAAATTGGTAGAAGAGATTGTAAGTGTTCTCATTACAAAAAAAAGTGACATAATATATTTTAGCCTAATTTATCCCACAGTATTCACATATTTCAGAACACCATGTTCTACACCGTAAATTACGAGACATGTTCTACACCATAAATTTGTTAGTAACTTGTCAATATTTGAAAATAAAATGAAAGGCAAAAAAATGAATACAAAAACAATAGTGCTGGTGAGGATGAAGAGAAGAGGGAACTCACATTACTGGTAGGGATATAAATTACCAGAAAGTCAGTGTGGCGGTTCCTCAAAAAAACTAAAAGTAGAATTACTGTATGACCCATCCCTTGGCATATATCCAAAGAATTAAAGTAGAATAGTGTAGGAATACCTCGTACCCATATTTATTGTGGCATAGTTCACTGTAGCCAAGACATGGAACTAGCCTAGGTGCAATCAACAGAGGAATGGATAAAGAAACGTGATATACATACCCCATCGATGTTGCCTAACTGGAAAGAAGGAGGAAATTAGGTTGCAGGAAAATGGATAGAACTGGAGATCAACATGTTAAGCTAATTAAACCAGATTCAGAAAGACAAATATTGCATGTTTTCGCTCATTTGTGCAGTCTAAAAACATGTCATGAGAATAGACGAGATGCTGCTGTTAGACAGCGAGCGGATGGAGAGGCACGTGACAGGGCAGAGAGCAGAGGGCGTGTGGTCAGAGAACCTGGGTACTTAGAATACCACACTGAAACCATGTTTTATAAGGTTAATAGGCACCAATGAATGCATTTAAAAGAAGACATGTACTACATTGTTTCTAACAACTGGAAAACAGAATTCTGCTCTTTAACTTTTGTAAAGCTCCCCATCTGTTATGCTCATTGGTGAGTTAAAATTTTATACACTTTTGTAAACTAGTAAAATTCAGTCTTGATCTCAAATTGCCCCAAAAGTATGATTCTGTGGGTCAAGCTATACTTGTTCATCTCAAATTATGCCTCTACTCTTAGAAAGTCCATTAGAATGAAGAGAACCAATATCTTTATTTTTTTAGGCATTGAAACACATTCCTGATGGTGTCGTTTTTGTGGGAGGAAAGTTGTAGCATCAGTATTAATTTGAAATATGACTGACTTGGGCATAATTTGCTCTTTGCAGTGCTGGGCCTGGAACCCAGGGCCACATGCATACTAGATACACACTCTGCCACTGAGCTCTGTCCTCAGCCCTGGAATAATTTACTCTGGTGGAGGGGGGCAAGTACTGAGGATTGAACTCATGACCTTGCACTTGCCAGGCAGGCAGGCGCTTGTGCTTCTGAGCTACATTCCTGGTTAATTTACTTTTAATAGAGCCAGAATTTTGAAACTTCCTACCTTGTTAAGAATTTTCTCTGTAGTATCTTTCTGATAACAAATCATTTTTGTCTGTTTTATGAGGGCTTCAGTTTTCCTAGCCATAAGGTAAAATTTTCATTTGCCATAGGCTCTGAAAGAAAAATTACTTCTTTTGGGAGGTGGTAATATAATAGGAAGGGTTCTAGAGTACCCTAGTTGGTTCTAAATCCTAGCTCTATAATTTAGTATCTTTGTAATATCGGAAGAAATACTTTTTTTTTTGAGACAGGATCTCACTGTGTAGTTCAGGATGGATTTGGGTTTACTGTGTAGCCCAGGCTAGCCTCGAATTTGTAGTGATCCTTCTGCCTCAGCCTTCCAAGTGCTGGAATTACAGGTGTGTGCTACCATACCCACCAGTAAAAATACTTTGTAAACCCCAGTTTCCTATTCAATAAAATAGAAATAATGAAAGCTCTTGTATCTAGTATTATCATGAGGAATAAGTGAAATTATTGAAGGATTTAGATTTAAGTTACACAGTTTGTTTACTATAATTATAAATAATATATAATTATATATTATAATTATCAATAATATATGATATAATTATTAAAATAAGTAATCTGTTTGTTTCTCAAGACCCTTCATATATGTATCTTATCTGTGACCTACATTTTAAGAGCATGTAATGGACAGTATTAAAAGTAAAGTAAGTTTGTATAGAGTATTAGTGGTTTAGTGATTTAAATTACTTCTACTCTTTTAACAGTCCAGAAGAAAAGATTAGACAATTGGAGAAGAAGGTAAATGAGTTGGTAGAAGAAAGCTGCATTGCCAACAGTTGTGGAGACTTAAAATTGGTAAGTTCATAAACTAATAAGATTCAAGATTAAGATTATGCTGGGTGCAGTGGTACATACCTGTAGTCCCAGCACTTAGGAGGCTGAAGCAGGAGGATCGCTATGACCACATAGTGAAGCCCTGTTTCAGAAAGACAAAAAAAAATTAAGATTATAAGGTATATTTATATGCATATATCAGCTCCACTTTTATATGTACACAAGCAGATATAGATACAAATACTTGCATTTTGCTATGTGTAGCCTTAATGTTTCGACTAAGGCAATTATTTTGAGAACAAGAAATTGTAATTCTGCTTTGTGATTTTTAATAAAGTAACTGGTAATTTTTGATGTTGGTCTTTTTAGTATGAAAAAATTCTAATGTGTTAATTTAATTTGCAGCTCAGTAGACTGTTGGATTAGACTCCAGTGCACCACCAAGAGTCACACCTGGCAGGAGGCACACACAGCATCAAGGGCTGGCTGTTCAGCTTTGGTTCACTTTTTTGTGGATTGAACCCAAAATCTTTGCAGTAATCTGTATCCTCAAGCCTTTTATAATTTTTATTTTGAAACAGTGCCTCTCTGAAGTTTTTAAGTGGCCTAGGCTGTCTCAAATGTGTGACCCTTCCCTCTTAGCCTCCCAGGGTGCTGGGCCTGCAGGCGTGCTCTGCCATGCAGGCATCCTGTTTTCTTACCGAAGCTTCCTTCACTGCCCTGAAATACTTCTTTCCAGGTGTATCACAAAATCACAGTTTGCTTTTTAGCCACCTTGCTTCGATTTTTAAAATTGTCTTTCAGTATAATAATAGACTTTGTTTTCTTAGAAACATATAAAAAATTTCACCAGTTTTGCCAGCAATAAAAGTAGCTTTTTTTTATTGAACATTTCTCTCCAATGGTATGCTAATCTGGTAAGTAAGTCACAAAGTCTGTTACTGAGTTTGTCTGTGGAAATCAACAGAATGCTCTTTGGTACTCTTTTTGAGTAGGATAAGAGCCAAGCTAAGAATCTCTTGTGTTGCTGGGCAGCAATTCTCCTTTAATTTACTGTATTTTGAGCATCTCAGAACTCCACCCCACCCCTAGTCTGTCTAAATTGCTACCTCACAAGTTCAAAATAAAATACCCCAAAATTCAGGAAGTAGGAAGAAAGAAGAGGTAAGTGGTTCAGTTTAAAAGGAAGTCGAAGGTGTATGGTAGAGAAACTTGACTTGGGGCAAAAATGCTCTATATTTCATCCTTCATCCTGTCCCGGAAAGACCACACAGGCAATTCTGTTATGTTAAGCTGCAGTTCAAATAAATATTGTAGTTTTTTTTTTCCCCACAAGGGAAGTTTAACAGAGGGGCATCCTGGGAATCCATGATTTGAAAATGAATTCAGCAAGCTTCACGTAGATATTTCTCAAATGCATAAAGTTGGTGAATGTTCAGATTTTACAAAGGGTGAATCTGATTTCAGGCCTTAGAAAAGGCTAAAGATGCAGGAAGAAAAGAGAGGGTCCTTGTGCGACAAAGAGAACAAATTGCATCTCCAGAAAATATCAATTTGGATTTAACTTACTCAGTAAGTATTGAAATCCCTGGTGGGAAAGTTTATTTTGAGTAATATGTGTGAATTCCAAGTGTTTTTATTCATTATTCTTTATCTGTATATAAAAGTATAAAAGTTGTACATATTTATGAGGTGCCATGTGATGTTTTGATACAGATATACATTATGTGATGTTTAAATCAGGTTAAATATACCTGTCTTTTCAAACATCTATCATTTCCTTGTAATAAAAAGATTCACACTTCTTTGTTCTAGCTTTTCAAAATACACAGTATAATGGTGCCTTTATTCATGAACAGTGTTGTTTGTGAACAGTTTGGTTCACGAGTGAAAAGTATTCCACAGAGTTTTGTTTTTATTTGCAAACTCTACCTTGGATGACAGACATGCCCATGCTCTGTTTCCCACACAAACAGAAACTGGGCATCTTTTCCAAAATCATGGAACAAATTCAGTTTGTGAACCAAGACACCATTGTGCATGCATGTTTCCGTAGTTGTTTGACTGTGCCTTAACCCAGCAGAGCATCATACTTTTCACTCTAACTCAGTGCGCTTTGATCAGCCTCCCCTCAGCCCTTTCCCCATGTAGAAGTCATCTTTTTCCTTTCTTGTTTTGTTTTTTAAATCATGCTGCTTTTAGGTACACAGAATTGTATTAATAATTACTTCATTATATACTTTGTCTTTGGTTCATAGATTTTTTGGCAAAGATCCTTTTTATAAATTAGCTACTCAATTAGTTGTTTTTAGTAACTTTGTAAGTATTCACAAATCATCCATATAGTGGCTGTGTATTTTGAAGATTGTTAATATTTATGCTCTCTTAATGATATTCTAACATAGACTTTTGAGATTCAGGGGTTTCAAAGTAGGTAAATAAGTTAACATTCTATAAACATAGTTTAAAAAACCTGTAGTTTTAGTAACGTTTCTTTAATTCTGAAAGTATATTTCCTTGCTCCTTATATGGTTGCATAAAAAGCAGTATGATATATAAAGGATTTACAAGATAGGTTTGCAATGACTGCTTGCAAAAGAACTAACTCTACACATGGGAGAGCCAGAAGATCCAGGGCGAATCAAAGGTCTGGAGCTCACTGCAGAGTTCCCCTCTGAGTATGTATCAGGAAGCCAAAGAGTCTGTGCTGGAAGATTGAGAGTTTGTGCTGGAAACCTGGTGATGGGCATCTAAAGGCAATGGCCAAGACTGGAACTACTCCAGAGAAGCAGAAATGAGATCACTTCTTCTTTCCCTTTTCATTCCATCAAGGTTACAACCCTGTTAGTGGGTACCACCCACATCCAGGGTGGGTCTTCCCTTTTCAGTAAGTTATCCAGACACACTCAAAACTGTACTAAGCCAATCAGTTAGGTGTTTCTTTTTTTTTTTTTTTTTTTCTTTTATCAGTACCGGGGATCGAACGCACGACCGCCTGCTTGCAAGGCAGGTGCTTATGCCGCTGAGCTAAATCCCCAGCAGTTAGGTGTTTCTTATTCAAGGTGACACATCTGTCACAGTCCACCCCTTGTCAAGTTGACAACCCAGACATATTTCCTAAACCATAGTCTCCAGATTAGCAAGCTCATGATAATGATGCCTAACATGATACAGTTACGCTGCATACAAAAAAAAGCACATTAATCCATCCTCAGAATAGAAAGCAAAGTTTTTCTTTTGGTGATGCTTACTCCTAACACATTAAAACTTAAGCATTGAAATATAGGTTTAACAATACTTAAAAGCTATTCCACTTCTGGGCATATTCCCAGAAGACCTGAAAACATCATACTATAGTAATATAATGTGCACCCATGTTTATAGCAGCACAATCTTTAATAGCTAAAAGTTGGAACCAACCCAAATGCCCATTAACTGAGGAATGGATAAAAAAGATGTGGTATTCTTATACAGTGGAATACTATTCTGCTGTAAAGAAAGGCCATATTGAGGCTTTCATAAGTAAATGGATGTGACTTCAGACCATAACTCATAAATGAAATAAACTCATATGTGTAAATACCATATTGTCTTCCTAGTGTAAGAAACTGAAAGAGTAAATAAGATAAAAAATCTTCAATAAATATTGTAAAAGGATAAGAAACTGCTCAAAGAGGAAAAAGTAACTCAGACAAAGAAAAGGAGAATAGAAGGAAGAGAAATAAAATATGAATTTGTATATATACACTTAAGATTACTAAGATGATTGTATGATTAATTCTATTAATTCTTAGAACAAAAACAGGTAACTTCCATAGGACTAGGTCAATTTTGCATGTCTATATCTGGTAATTCAAGTAAGACTTGAAGATAACTATGCAAAACAACAAAAACTGTTATGTTCTTACCATCTTGTTTTGAAAGCCTAAATTGTTAATATTTTAGGCTCTTATAGTTATTTATCTGCTGTTTTTTTCCTCTAATACAGACTAATATAGAGGTACATGTATAGCCTAATATATGCCTAGAACTTCACCCAAAAGGTGTACAAGAATTGATTTTATTATGTATGATAGTATGAACAGTTACACTGAAGAAAATGAGACACCATGGTAACCACTGATCATTTTCTACCATTTTGTTTCAAAAGCCAATAATGCTTTTATTTTTTGTTTTGATTGGTTTTGGCCTGTTTTAAATTACTTGATTTCAATATGATGAAGATAAGGGTATTTTGAAGAAGACAAGAGACATTATGGTAGCTGTTGTTGATTTCCTAATCTCTGATCTTGAAAGCCCTTAAGTGTCTCATTCTTGTGTTTTGATTGCTTTTATACTATTTTGATTTGTATTAACTTATTGTGTGAAGATACAGACAACAATTTTGAAGAAAACAAGAGATATTATAGTAGCCACTGTTGATTTCCTGCTTTTTCTGAAATCCTGTGTTACGTGTTAGGTGTTTCTTATTAAACAGTAAACAGATGTCATCATAAATAGAGTGATCCATGGCAGCTCCATGGGCCATTCTTTCTCACGCAGTTGTATGCCCAAGAGACCAGAGTTTCTGTTTAATTATCTATAATGTTCAGTAGTAATATTTTAGTTTATATCCTCTGCTTTTTTCTGTTTTGTTTTGTTTTGTTCTCTTAAAAAAATACTTAAAAACCAATAGTCTATCAACATTGTTACAAAGAAAGGAAATACATAAATATATATGTATATATATGTATATATGCATATTAACAGCATGGCAGAAAATAATTACAGTTGCAGTTGTCATATCTGTAACTGGTCAAACAATCATAGGTGATGTTTATAATTACCTCCTTCTAATACCCCTTCTGTATTGTGTTGGCCTTTAATAAGCACCTCAGGAGATGATGGTTTTTTATCTGGTGGAATAACCCATACCTTCATTCTTGAAGGTTCTGGGCCGTTTGTCATTCAGTGTGAGTTGGGTTGTTGTAGTTTCCGATTGACCTTAATAACCGGGTGTAGTGATACTAGGAGGCATCCTAAGGGATCTCCTATACTACAAATATATTCCTCCTTTCCTCCATTGTGAAATAATAGTCCAATTTCCCCTTGGTAGTCTGAATTAATCATCCCTTCCAGAACCCTAACTCTCTTTTTAGCTCAGAGCATGAGGAGTCCAAATGACCAGGGAGAAATCTTAGCTTCCAGTTCAATGGAATCATTGTTGTGCTTCCTGATGCACAACATCAGGTACCTTCTGGTATCAGGAGTGGGGTTGTGTTTTTGTATACTAAATAAATGAGGAAAGGGCATTTGAAGCTTTGAAAGACTATGTGTTTACTATTTATAGCTAATATTTTCAAATTCCATGAAATCTTTAGAAGATAATTTATGATGGTAACTTTTTTATTTGTAGGATTATAATTTACTATGGCTTAATTATATCAATTGTGATTATATATAGAACTTTTACTATACAATTTCTCCCCCATTTTACTTTAAAGTTTATTTTCACATGATACTTTTAAGAGAATTTGGCATACTGTCTTGCTCATTTAGGTTTTTGCCAGTAACATAGACAGTGCACATTTATTCTCTGTATGTCTTCCTGAGATTAACAGATGGCAAATAATATTAAATAAAAATAGAATACATAGAAAGGTAAGTGAAATTTAGGGGACAACTCTTTGTTAATGTTGTGGTTTATGTGGAATGTAAATATTTCTCTTTTTTGCAAGGTATTTCTTTTGTATACTAAATTTTGTATTTGTTGTGTATCTGGACGTAAGCAGCTAACTTTGTCACAGCATTTTAATCTCTGATTATAAGTGAAAGGGGGCCTAAAATAATCATTATGTATTTTTTTACAAATTATCTTTTTTTAGGTGCTCTTTAACTTGGCCAGTCAGTACTCAGCTAATGAAATGTATGCTGAAGCACTAAATACTTATCAAGTTATAGTGAAAAATAAGATGTTTAGTAATTCAGGTAGGTACATATGATCAGTTTTGCCACGAGAAATAATTCTTTCATACTGTTAATTACAAGTTCTTACTGTATACTTCCTTATAATGAGATAATCTGTGCCCTAAGCACATTTGTATTTATGATACAGGTTCTTGTTTAAAGATACTATTTACATGAAAATCCATACAAATATAAATACTGATGAAGAAACATAGTTACTGTGAAGTGTGCTGCCTAACAGTAAACAGATGTCATCATAAGTAGAGTGATCCATGGCAACTCCCTGGGCCATTCTTTCTCTCATGCAAATGTGTGCCCAAGAGACCAGAGTTGCTATTTACTATCTATAATGTTTGGTAGCAATATTTTAGTTTATCAGAATATATTCACCTAATATCATTAAAGTGCATATGACATTATTAAGTCTAATTTTAAAATGTCACATATTTTGAGTCCTTTTTTTAGTAGAATACAGTCCCAGTTTTATAGTATAGATTGTTTTCAGCCATATTTTCAGAAATCTTCCTCTCTTAAATTCCTTCCTCACAGAAGAGTAATGTGTAAATAAGACAATAGAGCAGTCTTAAAGTTGGAATTTTAATGTATGAATCTTCATAACCTGAAGAAAGCCTTAGAGAATATGAATTAAGGTCATCAAAGATGTCATAGAAAAGGTGCAAAAGTGAAAATATCATTCTTTTTATTTAGGAAGATTGAAAGTGAATATGGGAAACATTTATTTAAATCAAAGAAATTATTCCAAAGCCATTAAATTCTACCGAATGGCCTTAGATCAAATCCCAAGTGTCCAGAAAGAAATGAGGTAAGTGCGTAGTATAATTGTAAAATTTAAGGGTTTGGTTTTGTTTGGTTCTGTTCCCTGTGACTATACATATTTGTATAATGTCAAATTAAAAGTTAAAGACATAGTATGTGATCAAGAGGAATAAAACTAAGCTTACTAACCATCTAGGAATGAACCCTGAAAACTGTCAGTACCAAGACACAACTTAATACCAACACAATATGGGTCACAATGTGGGTCCTGCGTAATATATCAAACTACAATACAAGGCTAGAAATTAAGAGCACCTCACTTCAGAGTGAAATAGTGAAATAGTTTACTTATGAATTTTACAAGAGGGGAAAGATGATTCTTTGTATTCTAGCAATATTCAGGAAATGATAATATTAGGTAGCATATGTTCAGTGCTTAGTAGTAATTGAGAGACTACTTAGCAGTGGGTATATTGTAGTAATGCAGCTGAGGAAATAATTACTGAGGATAAGAATGATTCTGTGGTTAAGAAAAACTTTCTGAAGGTGTGCTTCAAATAGGTTACTAAAGTCAGAGATGGGATCGCATTCCAGACAAAAGGAACTCCACGGCATGAGTCAGAAAAGTTAGCCTTTAGGGTCTCATCAGCTAATTACAAATAATTTAGTTGACATGGGGTCATGTTGAGGAACAGTGGAAATAAGGTGGGATCACATCCACTAGGCTGGCTCTACAAAAAAGATGGCTGAGGATGTAGATAAATCACAAACCTCCTGCATTGGGTGTATAAAATAATGTGTTACTTTGGAAAACAGGCAGTTTCTTACAACTTAAATATATGCTTACCATATGACCAACCATTTTGTTCCTAGGTGTATACTCAGGAAAAATGACCAAAGAATTTGTGTGTGAATGTTCATAACAGTAATATTCATGGCAGCAAAAAAAGCGGAAATAATCTAAATATCCATCACCAGATGGATATAGCCAATAGATAAAGTGTGGCATGCATCCATACTATAGGATACTGTACTGCTTGGCAATTAAAAGCATGAAGTGTGCCAGTACTTGAGGTTATGTGGAAGAATCTCGGAAGAATTATGCTAAATGAATGAACCTTAGCAAAAAAAAATTTTTTTGTACCAGGGATCGAACTTGACCTTGTGCTTGCCAGGCAGACACTTATGCCACTGAGCTAAGTCCCCAGCCTTTGCAAAATATTGTGTAATGTATTATTTCATTTATATACAATGTCTAGAAAAGACACACACAGAAAGTAAATTAGTGGTTTCCTAGGTAGCTATACATAATCAGGTTTGATGTGAGATTAGGGAATGAATGTTAGTGGGCACAGGTTTTCTTTCTAGGGTAATAGAATTGAAAATAAATACATGGTTATGGTTCTACAACCATGTAAATATAGCAATAATCATTGAATTGTACATTTAACACAAGTGAATTTTATGATATATAGATTATGCCACAATAAAGCTTTGATGAAACAAACAAATAAAAAAACTAAAGTATTAAAGGGTACTCTTGTGGATAGCTTGAGTTCATACTAAAGAATTCATTTTTCAGACTAATTCATGTTTATTTTTATCTAGGATTAAAATAATGCAGAACATTGGTGTTACATTTATTAAAACTGGTCAGTATTCAGATGCCATTAATTCCTTTGAGCACATAATGAGTATGGCACCAAATCTGAAGGCAGGCTTCAACCTAATTCTTAGTTATTTTGCCATTGGAGACCGAGAAAAAATGAAGAAGGCATTTCAGAAATTGATTGCTGTTCCATTAGAAATTGATGATGATGATAAATATATTTCACCAAGTGTGAGTATGAAAAAGATCGTTATGTATTCATTGCCTCCTTATCTGTGTTTCTCTTTTTCTAGAAATAAGAAAATTGGAATAAATGGCTTTTTTATGGTAACGGGTATTGAATTCAAGAGTGTTCTCACTGTGTTATATCCCCAGTCCCTCCTTTTTAAATTTTTAATTTTGAGATGGATATCGCTAAGTTACTACTTTTCTGAGGCTGGACTCAAGCTTGTGAGAGTGCCATGAATGCGAGCGTATGCCACCAGACCTGTCTTAGATGACTTATTTTTGTGGTTGTTGTTGTCAGTACCAGGGATCAAACTCACAACCTTGTGCTTGCCAGGCAGGTGCTTGTGCTGCTGAGCTAAATCCCCAGCCCTTAGATGATTTTTTGAGTTCTCAAAGAATAATAATGTGACTCATTGATGATATATTTCATTTGTTATTTAAATTAGGTTGGGAGTGGAACCTCTTGAAATGGGGCTAAAGATTATAGTTAAAACAGTCTGCAAAATTTTTAAATAAAGAATATTAAAAATAAGACTTACATGTCATTCACTAAGAGCAGCATCTTGACCATGAAACTACATAATCCCTAACAGATTTTAAGATCGAAACCTTTTTAAGCTGAAGAACCTGAACTAACCTGTGTAAATGGGTCAAAAATGAAAAAAAATTCTTATCTTTATTCATGGAGTAAAACATAACACAACTCTCAAAAGTCATATTTTTAAAGACATAGGAAGAATATTATGTAATATTAATTTTAAAAGGGCAGACATACAACTACTCATGAAGAGCATCTGAACAGTAAAATAGAAACAGTTTCTGGACAATGAGTTTTTTTTTTAATGCTTTCAAAATATTTTCCAGATTTTTATGCATAAATTACAGGTTTATTCTGTGGTGTTATTTTATATCAAGTCAACCCATACAAAATTGCATTAATTTGTAGATCCAAATGGTATAATATCTTCAGTTTCGTGGAGTTAATAGATTTTTCTTAATAGGGTATAAGGGTACCGTAGCCTTCTAGTTACCCAGTGAAACATCTGAAGCCAGATACTTGGGTCCACCACAAAGTTCCTACTCTTTTTGTGCTTTAGTTCCTTTACCTAAAATTGCGACTAATTCTAATAAAACCTTTATAAGGTTGTGAAGATTAAATGAGTCAGTGCATGTAATATGCTCAAAGTAGTACTTGAAGCATAGGAAGTACTGGATTGGTGCTAATTATCCATTACTTTATCGAGAAAATCTGTGTTGTGAAAAATTTGTCTTATTTGGGGTATGGGCTTTGTGTGTGTATTTGGTAGGGAATGAACCCAGGGCCTTGTACATGGTAGATAAGAGTTCTATCACTGAGCCATACCCAAGTCCCATCTGTATTCCTTTTTATTTTTAAGACAAAGTTTTACTTTGTTCTCTAGGCTGGCTTTGAACTCATGCTCTTACTAGTTCAGCCTCCTAAATAGCTCCTAAGTAGTATTTAGGTGTATACCACCATATCCAGCTCCCCTCTGTATTCTTGATAAGAGTTGAATTATGGATTATATTAAGCATTTGATGGTCATGAAAGCATTTAGAGTTGAGATTAGAATTTGTGTTATCACATAGTAACCACAGCTTCTATATAGTTGCTCCTGTTTGCCTAGCCTAACCTTTTTTATCAACTGTTCAAAATTTATGTTAGTTAAATGGAAAATATACTAGGAATCAGAAATAAGAAAAAGAAAATAAAGATTAATTTAATATAACTGGTTTGTGGAGATTTTAATTAGAAATCTAAGTTTTTGGTACTTAGTTTTGACTGTTTTTCCTCAATTTTATTTTCCTAGGATGATCCTCATACTAACTTAGTGATTGAAGCTATAAAAAATGATCATCTCAGACAAATGGAACGTGAAAGGTAATATTGGGGCACTTAATGTAGTTTTTGCTTTTAAAAAATTATTAAATGTATAGTCTCATTGTTTCTTACAAACCCTAATTGTATTCAGTCTATTTTTTGAGTAGAGCAATCATTTGACTATTTCTGTATTTCACTGAATTCTCTTTTCTCCTTCAGAATAGTTCCAGTCCTTATAGTGATTCCAATTATTCTGTTATTCTTATCATTTCTCTGTAATTTTCTTTCCTTCTACATAATTTATTTCTAAGTTATGTTCTAATGTATTTTTATTTGCTTCCTAATTAAATATTAAATCCAAAAGACAAAATTATGTTTACTTTTTTTCCCTTAGTGTGGCACTACAATCTACTTCTCAGGCCACATTGAGAACAAATGTTCCAACTCTGGATACCAGTTGATATCCAACAATTGAATTCTAACAGTAACTACCCAAAGGTCATGCAGACCTCAGAATACAAGGTCTCAGTCCCTCTAGACTGCCTTTTCACCCCTATTGCAGAGGTCACTGCAGGCATGAGTCTCCCCTCCTTTTGACCGACTGGCTGTGAATCTGCTTCCTACCATCTTCTTAGGTTCAGTAATTTGCTGGAAGAATTCCCAGAACTCAAGAAAACAATTACGTTTAGCACTTTGTAAAGGCTAGCTATGTAGGAAGGAACATGGTGTTGCCATGCCCTTTGAAGGTTTACTACCCTTCTGGTACCCTTGTGTCATCACCAGCCTGAAAGACCTCCTAACTGAGGTTGCATTAGGTCGGCATGACTGATGATAGCATTAGCCTTTGTGCTGAAGCTCAATATCTAGTCCTTGTTCACTCTTGGGTTTTGGAGAATGAGACTTAGAATTTTAATCTTCTAATTGCTGGATTGGTTCCATTGGTACCCAGCCCCATCCAGAAGCTTTCTGACAAGTAGTTACCTCACTAGCATAAACTCAATTATGGTAAGAAAGGGGGCTTATGAATAACAAAAGATATTTCCACCACTCAGGACATCCCTCAGTTTTAGGAGCTCTTTACTAGGAGCCAGGAAATTATAAGCATGCTTAAAACTTCAAAAAATAGCCTCAAAAAAGAAGTAGAGAATTTCAGCAAAGAAATGGAAGATGCAAAGAAGAATTGAGTGAAAACTTTAGAACTGGAAAGTATAGTGATTAAAATAAAAAGTTGAGTGAATGGGCTCAGTGGTCGAATGAAGGGAACAAAAAAGTTTCAGTAACTGAAAGGTGAAAAAAATTACCTAATCTAAATAGTAGGGGAAAAATGGTCCCCAGGGACCTAAGAATTTCTGACAAAAGATCTAGCATTTGCTTTATCAGAATCCAAGATAGAAGAAAGAGGAATGGACTAAAGAATTAATGACTAAATTTGTCAAGAAAAGTAAATCTAGAATTCAAGAAGTTTGGTGAATTCCAAATAGAATAAATCTAAGGAACTCAATATCAACACATATATCATGATTTTAAACTCCTGAACATTAAAGACATCTTTAATATCTGAGTGCAATGATTTCATCTGGAGACCAGCCATTTAAGAGGCTGACGCAGGATGATGACTTGAGCCTAAGAATTCAGGACCAATACTGGACAATCTAGTGAGACCATCTGAAAAAAAGTGTCTAGAAAGGAGCCATAGAAAAATACCACCTGATCCGTAATGGGGAAATAATTAATATAATAGAAACTGCTGATATTGAAAAAAGAGAAACAATATGAAATAGATTTTTAAAGTAACTGTATGCATGTTAAGGAAATTGAATGCATAATTTTTAAAACTCCAGAAAAAGAAACTTAAGGGCTCAGATGTTTTTGATAGAGGATTCTAGCAAGCCTTTAAAGAAGTAGCATCAGTTCTACAGAATTGTGAAGTTAGTTTATCCTGATACCAAAAAGGGAATACCAAAAAGACCACAGAACAATATTTTATGACTGTGAAAATTTTTTAAAAATAATATTAACAAGATACAAAAATAATTGAACACCATGATCAAGTATGATTTATCTTAGAAATGCAAAATGAGTCAAAGATGTGAAAATTAAGATAAGCAAGATATCAGAATGGAGGACAAAACCTATATGATATGGAACCTCTATCCCAATAGAAAACCACAATTTTTATGAAATCTGAAAAGGAGTTCCTTATTCTGATAAAGTCTATCTATAAAAAACATAGATAATATTATACTTAAGGGTGAAAAACAAATACTTCAGGAACCAAATAAGGCTATTCATTTTTACTAATTCAACACAGGAAAAAATGTACAGAAACTAGCAATATAGTATAGAAATATGTGTACTACCAATGAACTGTCCACCCAGATTAACAGTTAATTATCAATAGAATGAGCATTTTAAGGAAAAAGTTAAGAAATGCAAAACTTAACACTGAAAACTATAAAAGAATTTAAAGAAGCTAAATGGCATTTATGTTGATGGGTTTATACTTAATAAATAGCAGCACTCACCAAATTGATTGCAGATTGAATGCTGTCTTTATCAGAATCCCAATATTGTTTATGTAGAAAGTGGCAAGCTGATTTTCAAATTCATTCAGAAATGAAAGGACCCAGTGATAGCCCAAACAGTGATAAAAAAGAAGAGTAAAATCAGAGAGCTCAAACTGCAAAGTTGCTGCAATCCAGATGGTGTGATACTAGCGTAAAGATAGTATATAGCAAAAAGATAGCATTTAGCTGAGTTGAGTGGAGTTAACAGTCCAGAAACAAACTATACAATTACAGTAATAAGGTTCCAGAACAATCTTTTGGGGGAAAAGATAACCTTAGCAGCTGTTCTAGGAAAATTGAAAGTCTTCATGCAAAGGAATGAACTTGAACTTCTCTCTCACACCATACCAAAAAGTGCCTCAAAATGGACCAGGTATCTAAACATACAAGCTAAAATTATAATCTTATAAAAACACATAGAAGTAGATGTGGCTGACCTTAGGTTAAGCAGTGTTTTCTTAAATACGAAACTAAGGCCAGTGTGGTAGTGCTTGCCTGTATCCCAGCACTCGGGAGGCTGAGGCTGGAGGTCACTGTGAGTTTGAAATCAGACTGGGCTACATAGCAAGACCCTGTCTCCAAAAACAAAACAACAACAACGAAAGCAAAAACCAAAACCATAAGCAATGAAAGAAAGAATATATAAACTGGATATCATCAGAATTAAAGGCATGTTCTTAAGAGAGTCTGTCAAGAATTAAACTACAGGCTTCTGAGTGGGAGAAAACATGCAAATCATGTACTAAGGGATTTATTTCTCAATTATATAAAGAATTGTTTTAATAAAAGGCCCAGTGTCCCAACTTAAAATATGCAAAGAATCTGAGTAGGAATTTCTTTAAAATAGACATAAATGTCTAGTAGGCACATGAACATGCCTTCAGCATCAAAACACCTTCAGGGAAATGCAGCTCAGAATGGCAGTGAGATAACAGGTCATACCCACTACTATGGCTAAAATAAAAAAGACGTATAGTAACACATGATGGCAAGAACAGTAAGAAATTAAGATCCTTTTATTTGCTGTGATGAATATAAAATGGAAGGCAAACTGCAGTTCCTCCAAAGGCTGTATGTAGCCTTACCATGTGAACTAACCACATCAACCTGAGACCCTGGAAGAATTCAGTACGATTTGCATTTAATGTTCATACGAACACTATTCTTAATATCCCAAAGTGGGACTAATCCAAATGTCCAGCAGTCATAAATATAATGTGTGATCAAAATATAGTGAGTGTGTAAATTAAAAACAATTACAGTAAAAGACACATTGCCACTAATCTCCCTTAGCATTATCACCCAGCCCTGCTTCAAACACATTTGTCCCATCTTCTTGCCACTTGCAGAAGTACTTTGGGAGGTCTCTTTCATGTCTTTACAAGGCCTGGTAGAAAACACAGTGACTGCTACTGCTGAGTGCGCCTCTGCCCAAAGGAAGGCTCATCAAATCCTTACGGAGTGTCCTGTTCACCTGGTTCTCCAGGGCGCACCATGCAACCTCTGACTCTTTCCCCAAAGACAGAATGACTGTGACTGTGAATCAGTTCAGGACATCAGGGTAGGCACAACAGAGCAACTAAAATCATAAAACGATAGAAATGGAGCTCGTACCTGTTGTCAGGAGAGGTGGCCGGGGAGAGGGTAAGAAGGTAACATAGGGCACATTGAAGCAATGGAAACATCTGTGTGTCTTGACCGTATTGATGCCAGAATCCTGGTTGTGATACTGCACTCTAGTTATGCCAGGTGTCACCTCAGGGAAACTGAGTAAGGAGCACGTTGGATCCCTACTATTTTTTTTAATTTTATGGAAAAAAGATAAAACACAATTTTGTAACAGAATAATAGGAGAATAACAATAGTTAATACATTACGTGTTGCTCAGTGTACAAGGTATGGGCATAAAAATTTCTCCAGTCAATATTAGCTCATCTTCCTTTTTAACAAATTAAGAGACAGTTACGTTATAACTAACTTGCATTTTTTCCTTTTCCTTACTGTCCTTTCCCCTTTCACCCATCCTAGTCCCTTTTTCCTTTTGATCAGTTTCTTCTCACTTCACAATATCTGTTGTACATTTTAGACCTTATTTGCTTTTTCAGTTTCTTATACCAGGAAAACAATAGGATGTTTACACATGTGAATCTGATTTATTTCACTTATGAGTATGATTTCAAGTTGCATCCATTTACCCATAAATGTCTCAAGTTGGCCTTCTTTATAACTGAGTAGTGGATCCCTACTATTTTTTACAAATGTGTTAGATCCACAGTGGTCTCAAAATAAAAAGCTTAATGAAAAAAATTACAGAAATAATGTCTACTATGGAAATGTACTATTTCCATATCAATACAGCATAGTAAGATTAAAGAGGTTATAAATAATATGAACATTCTGAGTTCATTTCTGTGTATATAAATCCAAGAAAAATCTAAGATGACTCTCATCCACCAGTATAAATTGATATATCCACTTTGAAGCACAGTTTGACATTTGCAGTGATGCTGATCATGTGCATTTTATGGGTGTGTGTATACACACACATACATACACCTGGATAGTATATACAGAAGCAACGTGTTTTACTATTTGACACACCTATTTCTTGGGCAGCTACTTTTTCATTCTTTCTCATGGTTGCAGTGTCAACTCTGCTGCAGAGAATCCTGTCCTTCTCATGTCTGTTTCTTTAATTTATCAGAAGGTATAGTGAGCAGAAAAGAAATACACATTCTGGCCCAGAAGGCAGTTCTGTTGCTGGTCACATTTCCTAGTGATGGCTTTTTTTTTTTTAATCAGTACTGGGGATTGAACTCACGACCGACTGCTTGCAAGGCAGGTGCTTATGCCACGGAGCTAAATCTCCAGCCCAGTGACAGCTTTTGACCTGACTTGTAGACATATTTCTTGTGTAGTTTTCTATTGTTTAATAAGCTTCTTTGCTATGTTAGTTTTGACAGATAATATTTATACTTAAATTTTAATGTATCTAAGCATTTTATATCATATTTCTAAATAAAGCTTGTTTCTTTAATATTAGGAAAGCCATGGCAGAAAAATACATCATGACAGCTGCAAAACTTATTGCTCCTGTGATTGAGACATCTTTTGCAGTAGGTTATGACTGGTAAGAAATTCAGTAAAACTGCATAAGTACAGAATTTTTGTAATTTATATTTTAATTTAAGATTAATGTTGATACTAAAATGATTATGAATATTGATTTGTTCTCATCAAAGAGAAAATATAAAGGTTTTTCTTGGTTACTTTTCTTTCATTGCTGAGACAAAATACCTGATGCCCCAAATTAAAGAAGGCTTATCTACCTCACAGTTTTTAGAAGTTTCAGTCCGTAATTAGTTGGCAGCTCTAAAGCAGGGTAGCATATGGCAGAGGGGCAACAGTTTAAGGCAGCACAAGAAAGCAAAATCAATAAAAGCAGTACTCGGAGGAGTGTAGAGAGCAGACTTTTTCTGTCCCTTATATTGTATGTAGTCTACCCACGCTAAGGTGGGTGTAGCACTCACACCCATAATCCCCACATTGGACCATGAAGCAATCACAAACCTAGAAGTCCATCTCCACTACTGTAGGAGGCACTGAGGGGCATCCAGACACAAACCATAAAAGGTTGATATAAGCCATTATAAAAGTTTTAAGATAGTTTTTTTATTGCTCATATCATTTTGTAATTAGTGCTCAGGTAATTGTGCTATCATTTGTTTTGATTGCTTCCTTTGTATAAATTGTATTAATATATTGTATGTAGTCTACCCACCCTAAGGTGGGTGTAGCACTCACACCCATAATCCCCGCATTGGACCATGAAGCAATCACAAACCTAGAAGTCCACCTCCACTACTGTAGGAGGCACTGAGAGGCATCCAGACACAAACCATAAAAGGTTGATATCAGCCATTATAAAAGTTTTAAGGTAATTTTTTTATTGCTCATATTATTTTGTAATTAGTGCTCAGGTAATTGTGCTACCATTTGTTTTGATTGCTTCCCTTGTATAAATTGCTTCCATTGTATAAGCTCCAGCCCATGCCTTCTTTTTTTAATCTTCTCTCGTGTCTGGCAGTAATGCTAAACTTTCCATCTAGTACTATACTTGATCTTAGCCAAAAGTCCAAGAAGCAATAAACTTTCTATCTAAATAATAGCACTCACATCTGAAGAACCTGTTTCTTGATATGTAATGCATTTGTTAGAGAGGAGTAGAGTTTTACAGTTGGAAAATTTTAGGTAATTTGAATAAATAAGTGGCTGAATTTTCTCTTCTATCTAGTGTACAGGAGCATCTCATAAGTTATTTCTGCGTGAATTCTTTCAGTGTCAGATTCATTTGTTGCATTTCTAACATTAAAGTTTATCAGTGGGCTAGGGATTTAACTCAGCAGCATAAGCACCTGCCTCACAAGCATGAGGTCTTGAGTTTGATCCCCGGTACCAAAAAAAAAAAAAAAAGTTTATCAAGTTATTCCTCATTACTGAATCCAGATCTGTTCCTCTTAAATGTATTAGCCTGTGTTTAAAGAGATAAATTGTGGCAGCTTTTTAGTGTGTATACTGATGCAGTAAAAGAAAAATCTAAGTAGATTTCACCCTCGCGTGCTTTTTACTGAGGTTCTAGATTTACTCTCACAATGCTTCATTCCAGCTTCACTTTTTTTTTTTTTTTTTTTTTTTTTTTGGTACTGCAGATCAAACTCACGACTGCACGCTTGCAAGGCAGGCACTTAGGCTGCTGAGCTAAATCCCTGGCCCTAAGCTTCACATTTTTAATGCAAATCCAGTGAACATAGTGACCTTAATAGATTTCTTATTATGATTATTAAAACTGCAGGAATCTTCAGGATTTCATGTGCAACCTAGAAAATGTCTCATTTCCCTATGTGTAAACTTGATAGGCACCCATTTCTTTAGATTGGAGCTGGCAGTTTTTCAGCAACTTTACTAGGTCTCAGATGAAAATCAAGGGAAATTTACATTTTAGTAGCTTTGATGAAAAATGTGTGTAGCCAGGTATAGTGGTACATGACTGTAATACCAGTATTAGGAAGGAACAGGCCAATCTGGGCAACTTAGTGAGACCCTATTTTAAAAAACAAAGAAATAAAGATGTTTATACATTTGTAAAACTTTCTTATGGAACTTTTTCAGAAATTGCAGTAGATGTATACATGTATATGTGTCTTCAAATTTTTCAGTAAAAGGGAAGCAGTTTTAAAGTTGAAAATTTATCTTCTGTCCTTTCAAATCAAGGTTTTTGAAGCTAGTTTCTGTTTAAAATTTTTAATGATGGTAATGGTACCATAAAAAGTGATTGCTAGTGTTTTGCTGGCTGTTAAATATTTCAGCCTATTAAAATCAGGAATATCAATATGCAGCTTTCAGAAGGTGATGGATATTATTAGTAAGCTAATTATAAAACCAGCAATTTTATACTTACTCTCCCTAAAAATAGGGTCATTAATTTACTTCTCTCAAGGTAGATTTTTAGTGAACATGTAGCTCAGGCCTGATGTTAAGTTTGTGCCTTAAATTGTGTCAAAAAAAATTTAGAGTTTAGTTTAAATTTATTGAACACTCCCTTGTTTCAGATACTTTATTATACCTGATACCTTATCTCAGGGAGTTGAACACAATCACAGCCTTTTTCTGTAGCTGAGAAAATTAAGTAGTAAAAATTCACCAACTTACTAAGGACAGATAGTCAAGGTCAGTGATTGTGTTTTCTGTTTTCATTTTTATTAGTACATGTTTGCAGTACATTATAATCATATTCCTTTGTGAGGAGATGAAAATGTATATATCACTTCTCAGTTCTTTCTTAAGGTCAGTGATGTTTAAGCTTTGTTTTCACAGGGATTACCTTGGTTACAGATAAGTACAGATGAGGGCTAGGGGTGTAGTCCAGTAGAATAGCCTGTGCTTAGTATGCACAGGAGGCCTTTGGCTTGACCCCGGCACTGCTTAAAAATTTCTTTTAGAAAGACAGATGATCAGCTTACCCATAGTCCCCCTCCCAGGGTCTGGTTTAGGGTTCTGAGGTTGGCGTGAGCAGCTGCATTGTTATCAAGCCCCCAGCTGATTCCTATCCGTATTACAATCATCGGGGTCAAAAATTCTGAATGCCTAGGTTGTGCTCTAGAATGATTAAATCAGAGTTTTGAGTGTTGGAACTTGGGTGTTGATCTTTCTAATATTCTGTGGGACTTGTATGAGATATATCCAGCAAGCAAACATGGCTGTACACTGTGCACTAATTCGTGAATGCCTACAAGAAACTTGTTGAAAGTGAAGGTTCAGTCAGTCTTGAATGGAACAGAAACATGTATAGTCTTCCCACTGCTTTCCCAGGAACTCCAATGTGCAGCCAGATGTGGAAGCCCACATCTATTATATGACTATTTCATTGAGAAACGGGAGAATTCCCCTGAATTGCAATTTTTCAGTATAAATTCTTGTGGCTTTCTTGCTGGATATCTGTTAATTTATTTGTAAACAATTAAATTATTTTAGCCATTTTGGTAAGCACATTTTGGTAAAGCACATATAAAAGTTGTACAAAACAGTAACATCAGCTCAATAAAATAATATATCACGAAAGCAAATACCCATGTAACCACTACCTAGTTTAATAAATGACATTTAAGAGTTTTTCATTTTGATGAAAAAGAAATGCCATGTTTGATGAAAGGAAGTGTTATTCCCCAAATTCAGAATCCAGAGTCCAGCTGAGAACCACAGACTTATGCTTCAATACAAATGGGAGCCAGGCCAGAGCATATGTGAAATGAAGGGACCTGTAGTCAGTGTGGGCTGGGAGAAACAGCCAGCCACACCTTAGAGAAGCCGCAAGTGTCTGGAGAAGCCCACCCTGCACCCCACTGCCTTCCTGGGAATCTGGGTTAGGAGAAACCTAGGTGCCTGACCTATCCCCCGATACCATGGACAGACAGCCAATATGGTAAGTGCCTAGGACCCCACAACCTGTCCGTTCAGAGAGACCCAGGAAAATGTCAAGATGAAGGAGCAAAAGGTAGTCTCTGGCCTCCAGCCCAAACAGAACAAGTCCAGGAGACATGGACAGGGAAGAAAGTGCAAGTCACACCCCTGAAATTTCTGAGATAATGGCAATTTGAAGTGAAGAAACTACTAATGAGTGCAAAAGAAATTAGATCAGAAATAATATCTCAGGTAAAAGAAGGAATGATAAACACAGCAAAAGGGTTGCTGAGTGCATCTGAAGATGACATAGAGTGAAAAAGAGGAGCATAAGAAAATGAGGGAAACCTTGAATGAATATAGAGAAAAATCGGAATCCATCACTCAATGTGATGTTGAGGAAATTAAAAACTCCACTGAAAGCTGGCAAAACCACTTGAAGCAAACTGAAGACGGACTTTCAGACCTTGAAGACAGGATGGCAATTGCAAAAGGAATGATCTCTTAAAAATAACAAGGGACCAGCAAATAACAATCCAATGGCTGCAAGATGATGCAAAGAAATTAGTTTAAGAGTGACAGGTATCAGTGAAAAAGCAGGAGTCAACACAAATGAGATAAAAAAGACTATTTACAGAATAGCAGAAAACTTCCCAAACATGGGAAAAAGACTTGACATACAGAAATTACAGGCATATAGAACTCCAACCAGCCATGATCAAAATAAACCTACATCCAGACATATAATAATCAAGATCCCAGAAATTTAGAACAGAATATTAAAGGCTGTTAGAGAAAAGAAACAGATCCCCTGTAAAGGAAAACCCATCAGAATCATGGCAGATGTCTCAACACAAACCCTCAAATCAAGAGCTTGGAGTAAAGTGTTTTAAATTCTGAAAGAAAACAACTTCCAATCCAGACTGATGTTCTTTGCAAAACTGTCTTTCAAAATTAATAGAGAAATAATATACTTCCATGATGAAGAACAACTTAAGGAATTCATGACTACCAAACCGACTCCATGAAGAGTACTGAAGGACATTCTAGAGAGAGATAAGTAAGACCAACGTTCCAGGGACAGCAGCAGAGTAGGATTGCTGAGTAGGGCAGACTGTTGAATGGAAGGAAAAAGTAGGGAAGCAATGGCAGGAAAAAAGCATTGTAGACACA